TATCTTTGATGATGCATCATTACATTTTGTGGAAACAAGGTGCAGATATAATTCAAAACCATAAATTTTGTTTAGGTTCTTATTCTGAGAGTAACTTGCTTATATAGTCCCATCAAACTCATTTTAATTATAAACTTATATTAGCAAATAAAAGCATTATAAAAACTATATGAGGACCAATCTTATAGTAATAGTCATTGTTCATAAAAGCAGTATAGAGCGTGTCACAAATACATGGGGTTATGATAAAGATCTTAAAATCAATTGTCTCTTAAAATTAGAAGAAAAAAAAAGTTTATTCATAACATCATTCGACAATTTGTTTATTCAAGTTCTATTCCTCTCAATGGGAGACATAGGCTGCATGTTTCATACAAGCAGCTTGGCGTCGATACTGGAAAAAGAAGATTGAGAGATCGTTACGTGAAGCAGAAGACAAGATAGCTTGCGCCAGAATGATTACTAGAATGCGCAGCAGAGCTTGAGCTTTGGAATACCTAGCTTAAAAATTGCATTGATTTACTCTCCTTACATTTTAAATTTAAGTGATTGTTTTAGTGATGTACAACTCAAATTGTGGTAGGAGAGATGAACAAATATTTGATTTTTCGCCTCCCACAAGAAAAAATTCTTGGTCCGCCAATGATTAAGTATCTTTTATATTTTAAATGTATTTTTTATTTACTATTTTTTATTAAAATAAAATGCTCTATTAAAAGAATATATATATATATATGTGAGAATAACATCTGTCATTTTAAAGGATATAAGCTTATATCATTTTAGATCCTAACCGTTGATTTTCGTCCATCAACGGTTATAATTTATTGGATCAAAATTATTAATTAATTAATAATAAATTTGGCCAATTAAGTTTGACCCAATAGATTATAACCGTTGATGGACGGAAATCAACGGTTAAGATCTAAAATAATATAAGTTTATATCCTTTAAAAATATAGATGTTTTTCCGAATATATATATATATATATATATATATATATATATATATTAAAAGAATATTTTAAGAAAGATATATATTGTACTACCTATTAAATTTGGGTTGAGTTAGCGTATGGAAATTAAGAAGATAGCTTTATTTATACCCAGCATCATACCCGACAAATTAAGAAATCATTTACGACATATTTGACCGACCTGAATTAATTATGCAAACAACAATATCATGAAGCTCCTTTTATACCCTTATAATTTATGCATTTGATCATGTTTATCTTCTTTCATTACTTTTTAACTATTTTGATTCGAGTCATATAATAAGAAATAAGTTGTCTATTTTTTTTTTTCATAACCTTAAAAATACATGACACTGGGTTTCCTTATAAAATATCAAACACTAAATTTGATTCGTAGAATCTCAATAATAATACTTCATCAATTCTTAGTTTCTTACCCATTTTTTAATACTTTTAAAATAAAAACTACAAAAATCTTGAGATATTCCTCACTTTAAAGCGTGAAACTGTTTTTCATTGTACATGTTGTTTTCATTAGTTTTTAAATACTTGGGTTATAAGTAAAGTTCGCACAGTTGGAATTTAACTCGACGATTAAGTTACACTACTAGAAAATATTTTTTTTTCGACGGAAAAATTCCGTCGAAAATGATGTTTTCGACGGAAATGAAGCCGTCGAAAATATCTTCGTGGATAACATTTTTTCGACGTAGTTACAGATTCCGTCGAAAAATTTCGACGGAAATTTCGACAAAATAATTTCTGTGGAAAGTTTCGACGGAAAAATAATTCCGTCGAAAATTTTTGACGGAAAATAAATAAAATTCTGTCGAAAAATCTTGTATTAATTTTCGACAGAAAATGAATTCCGTTGAAAAATTTTATATTAATATTTGACGAAAAATAAATTCCGTCGAAGATTTTCGACAGAAAATGAATAAAATTCCGTAAAAAAATACTGTAATAATTTTCAACGGAAAATAAATTCCGTCAAAAATTTTCAACGGAAAAAGAATAAAATTTTGTCGAAAAAATTTGTAATAAATAAATTTATTTTTATAATTTGAATTTAAATTTTTTATATAAATCTTTATTTTCAAATACGATAAATATTTAATCATATAATTTAAATATTAAAAATCTTTCATATGTAATTTTCATTTGCAAATTTGATTCCTTAATTTAAATATTAATATATTTATTTAAAACTTTCATTTGCTAATCTCTTTCAATTATTTCAGAGATCAAAACACAGGTTATAATTGACATATATTTAACCATAAGAATATGACCAAAATTTTGCATTATATATCAAAAGCATAAATAAAATTCATAGAATGAAGGCCATGAACATGAACGCATTCACAAAGCAAGCAGTAGTTGCCTTAGGCTGCTAACATATAATAAACGAAGGAAATAGGTCGGTACATGGAATATATAATTAAGCTAGTTGTAGTTACAGAGAATGAAATTTTGTGATTTTAAGGCCCTATGATGTCAGTCCAAACTGTACACAGCTTCCTGCTTGCTACAGAGGATAGGAAACAAAACAAGGCAAACTGAGATAGAGGCAGCAATAAAGGTTGGCCGGACAGTCACTTCCTTCTACTAATTTCTGATTCTTAATCACAATATTGAGCAGGCATTTTGTGCTTTGGTGGTTGAAGAACCTATCTGATGGCAGCATCAAAGACAACTTTCACATTCTGTCAGATAAAAAACAGCTAGTTGTTTTGCTTTCCTAAACAACTGAACATTTCGTCATGAAATATAAAATGTTCACAAACTATAATTTCTTTTTCTTTTATTTTTTTTCAAAAGTTTTCGACGAAATTCTTTTTCCGTCAAAAATCTTCGACGGATTCGAAATTCCATCGAAAAGTCCACAAAATATAATCTTTTTTTTTTTTTCAAAAATTTTCGACGGAATTCCTTTTCCGTCCAAAAATTTCGACGGAATTGAAATTCTGTCGATAAGTCCACAAAATATAATTTCTTTTTCTTTTATTTTTTCTCAAAAGTTTTCGACGGAATTTCTTTTCCGTCGAAAATCTTCGACGGAATCGAAATTCCGTCGAAAAGTCCACAAAATATAATTCTTTTTCCTTTTATTTTTTTCAAAAGTTTTCGATGGAATTCCTTTTCCGTCAAAAATCTTCGATGGAATCGAAATTCTGTCGAAAAGTCCACAAAATATAATTTTTTTTCTTTTATTTTTTCAAAAATTTTCTACGGAATTCCTTTTCCGTCGAAAATCTTCGACGGAATCGAAATTCTGTCGAAAGTCCACAAATTATAATTTGTTTTTCTTTTATTGTTTTTCAAAAGTTTTCAACGGAATTCTTTTTCCGTCGAAAATCTTCGACGGAATCGAATTTTTGTCGAAAAATCCACAAAATATAATTTATTTTTCTTTTATTTTTTTCAAAAGTTTTCGACGGAATTCCTTTTCCGTCGAAAATCTTCGACGGAATCGAAATTTCGTCGAAAGTCCACAAAATATAATTTCTTTTTCTTTTATTTTTTTCAAAAGTTTTCTACGAAATTCCTTTTCCGTCGAAAATCTTCGACTGAATCGAAATTCCGTCGAAAAGTCCACAAAATATAATTCCTTTTTCTTTTATTTTTTTCAAAAGTTTTCGACGGAATTTCTTTTCTATCGAAAATCTTCGTTGGAAAAGAAATTCCGTCGAAATTTTAGACGAAAAATAGATTCCGTGGAAAATTCCGTCAATAATTTCAACGGAATTTTTTTCCGTCGAAAAATTCCGTCGATAATAATGACTTTTCTAGTAGTGTTAGATTTCGTGGTCAAAAATTATAAACCTTAATATTTAACCTAAAGGTAGTCATATATAATCATATCGGGTTGATTTAAACATAAAAATGAAAATTAAATAGATAAAAATTAATTGATCGAATTTAAAGAATTTTTTAATCAACTTTAACTAACCTAATTTAATCATAACGCAAAAAGGTTTGCATTGGATGGTAGGATTGGCATTTTTAATTAAGAAGGATTACTAAAACAATGTTGTGTCATATTACAAATTTAAATTAATGAAAGAATATATATATATATATATATATATATATATATATATATATATATATATATATATAGATGTTAAAATATTTCAAAAATATGTAAAATTAAGGTAATTTGGTTAGTTTAGATTTTAATACTAACCATTGAAGTCATATTAAGTCAAGTTTAACTAAAACCAAATCAAATGCACAGCTTCACACTTTATGAATTAGTTTAAGTTATATTAACTGGATTATTGAATGAAACAAGACATATATTTACTATATTTTTGAGGCATGAAATGCACGAGTATTATTATTATTATTCTTGACAGTTGTTAAATGGCTTGATGTTGAATCTAATGTTTTTGGTTTGGATTTCATTTGCGAAATAGGATATTTAAGTTGAATCACATGCATACAACTTCAGCTTTATTTATTTTGTCAATCAATTTTGTTATTTTAAAAGAAAAGATTGTTAGTGCACATTATTTTTATATCTACTATTTACATGGGCTTGAGATGAAAATAAGCTGTGAATATAAATAGAAGTATTTTAAAGAAAGGAACAGTAACCCAGCTCTTCTACTACCAACTCACTACCTATCTAATTACCATTGAATCAACATTTTCTCTTTTTTCAAAAACTTTTTAGCATTCTCTCTTTTTGATTCAATAGTAATTAGATAGATAGTAAATTAGTAGTAAAAAATTGTAATAGTAAGAATATCATTCCTTTTTAAGTTAATAGTGTAATAATAGGCACATGTGCTTAATGAAGAGGTCCCAATAGAATGGAGGGAGAAAATTTATAAAGATTGACCTCTTCATTTCTTAGTTGCCCATGTGCTTTTCCTTGGAGGCGAAGCGGATCTTACACCCGTACCCGAACCCGACCCATACCAGACCCACAGATAGCACTCTTTAGTCTTTAGTTTACTTTCTCTCATGAATGCTGAATGCGGGAAATAGGAAGTAACGCACTCCAGGAATAGATCTCTCTCATCTTTCTTCCTTCTTTGATTCCAATTTCTACAAATTCTCTCTCTCTCATTTTTGATTTTCAAACTTTCTCTACTTTTATTGAGTTTTGGATCTTGTTTTTCAATCTATTGTTGTTCTTTTCCCACTCTCGCATGTGGTAAATTAATGGCGTCATTCCGACGGACTCTGTCGCCGGCGTATCACGATCGCCAATACCTAAACGGCGCGTTTTCAGTTTCTTCTCCTTCTCACAAGCTTCCAACCTCAAACGCCAAGTACTCGTCGCCGCTGCCGGCGCTCGCCTCGGCGTTAAGGAGGTTGGTTGGCGGCGTTTTCTTGCGGCGGTACGGTCGGAAGGGGCAGTGGAGAAGGGCGGTGTACAGGTGCGTGATTTGTTTCTTCGTAGGGTTCTTGTTAGGCATGTTCCCTTTCGATCACGTGGTGGACGACATGCGCCCCAACGATATCTCTTTCGAGGTCAAGCAGCCGCCGCACGCGAACGCGCAATTGCTTCCCGAGAATCGCGTTCTGAAGAATCGCAGCGGCGAAGACAACGACGAGGGTTTCATGATCGATCCCGTTAGTTTGAGTGGCGAGAAGCGGAGTCTGGTGGATTTTGTGCCGAGGAAGCAGCTGATTGTGGTGACTCCCACCTACAATCGCGATTTTCAGTCGTATTTCTTGAATAGGTTGGGTCAGGTGCTGCGTTTGGTGCCTCCTCCGATTCTGTGGGTTGTGGTGGAAATGAATTCGGCTTCCATGGAGACTGCTGAGATGCTGAGGAAAACGGGTGTGATGTATAGGCATTTAGTGTGCACTAAGAACTCCACGGATGTTAAGGACAGAGGGGTTCATCAGAGGAATACGGCGTTGGAGCACATTGAGCACCATAGACTTGATGGCATTGTTTACTTTGCGGACGATGATAATATATATTCTCTCGAGTTGTTTGAGACCTTGAGAGACATAAGGTATTGTTATTACTATTATTATTAATATTACCATTATTTTTATTTGGAGTTTCTATTCTTTTTTTTCCTTGATAGAAGGTTTTTTTTAACTTTAGTCTCTACTTATTTCCTTCCTTCAAATTTCTTGTGTGAATTTCATAATGACATGTTTGTAGCTAATTTGTAAAGCAAACCCCCAAATTCACCCATGATAAATTTGGCGGTGGACATATTAGTCTTTAAGAAAGCAAAATAACACCACCCTTGTCGCTAAGGAATGACACATGGTTGTCATATTAGTCCTTAGGCATTGGACACATTAGTGCCTGAGAAAGACTAATATGGTTGACATTTGTGGTTCCTTAGCGACCAAAGTGGGGTTTTTGCATTCTCAGGACTAATTTGTTTTCCGTCAAACTTCTCAAGAATAAATTTGGGAGTAAATCTGTATATTTTCATTTTGGGTATTATTTAGCATCTTCTCTTGGTAATAAAGTAGTTGCATCTCTTGTACTAAAAAAAAAAAAAAGTAGTTGCATCTGTCCTTTTGCTACATTAGCTTGTTGATTGCTAGTTCCTTTTACCTTTGAAAATATATAGTTGACATATTTTGATTATATTTGTATGTGTTGAAATTATAGGATTTAGGTATTGAGGAAGAAAAAAGAATAAAGACTATAATGTGATATGCTGTGGTACAAAACACAAAACACTAATCCCCATTTATACTAATAGTAAACTCCTAAAATAAGGAATAAAAAACCATGAAATATAAGGAAATATGGTAATTAGTCGTAAGTGATTTTCATAATATTATATGATATCTTCTAACACTTCCCCTCAAGCTAACGTTGACTAAGCTTTAAGCTTTACAAATAAACCCTTTAAAAAGGAAAAACAACCAAATGCATTTGGGACCAGGACCGGCGAGGCCAGATTGCATCTGGGACAAAGACTGACAGGGATAGTTTGCATCTGGGAGACTGGGACATAGACTGGTGGGGCCAGACTACACAAAGAAGCTGCGGACGATGGGCAGAAGATGCTGGACTGCTGCCGTAATGACTGCACGCTAGTAGGCAATAGCGGACAACTAAGAGAATGTTGTTGAAACGACATGACAAAGAGACGGCAACCAGAAGATGTCGGATTGTTGCTAGGATGAAAACACATCAGTGGACAAAGACCACTGGGCCAGACTTCATGGAGAAGCTGCAGACGGCGTCCGGAAGACACTAGAATGCTATCGTAATGATGGCACAATACTGGGCAATAGCGCATGATCAAGAGAAGGTTATCGGAAAGACAACATGACAAGGAGTCGGCAGCCAAAAGACGTTGGACTGCTGTCAGAGTGACAACATGGCAGTGGATAGTAATGGATGGTAGAGAGAAAGTTGCTGGAAAAGAGGAGACTGAAAAAGTTGACGTAGAGCTCTGGATTTTAGGGAACTTAGTAGTAAAATAGTGACGGGACATGTCGCAAAGCATGGTACTGCCCTTATACCATGTTGAAATTATAGAGGTTTAGGTATAGAGGGAAAAAAGGGAATAAAGACTATAATGTGATATGATGTCGTTACAAAAGACAAACCACTAATCCCTAACCTATTTATAATAGTAGTAGACATTTAAAAATAAGGAAACAAATAATGAAATACGAAGAAATTTGGAAACTAATCCTAAGAGATCCTCTAAAGTACTCTAAACTATTTTAAGATATAATCATATAATATATATGATACCTTCTAGATACTAACTATATGTTTTTCCCTTTATATAATTGCGCAGTTTTTAATATACTTCTTAAGTTGTTTGATTGTATTCTTGCACAGATTCCTCTATGTCCCAGTTTTTCAATAGAGCAGAAAACAATTTGAAATTCTATTTGGTTTGTGGTTTCTAGAAGGCATGAGCTATATATTTGTTAGCTTTTACAGTTTTACTAGCATTTTGAAGCACGTTCTCAAGAGTTCTGGCTTCTACTTGTGCTAAGACTATGAAAAGATTCTTTATAATTTTGTTTGTGCTTCCTTTTGGTTATGAAGAATTACATTTTCCCTTTTTTGTTTTGGGTAAATTAAAGTTTAGGGGGAGGGGAGGTCAATCCATTCAAGGTCAAGGCATGCCAAAAGCCTCGACAAGGGCTTACAATGGTACTGATAGATGGCGTACCAATAAAGGATCATCAATATGAATTAAACCTAAGACCTTTTTGTCAATGCTATTTGATTTTACTAGTTGAGCCAACCATCCTTGGCAATTACATTTTCCATTTGATTGTTATGTCATGACTATGTTTTTTAAAAAACTTACATAATCATTTCCACTAAATAAATATGGCTCTGTTTAGTTGCTGACAGCCTTTGGTTCAGTAATAAGATATGATCAAAATTGACTTGGCAAATACCTCTTTCATGATGTTTTCATGTCAACCACACAGTTTGTCTGCAATTCTGTACATCATCAAACTTTTGATAAATTTTGGATTTATGAATTTTGTCTTTACACTTTTATATTTATATTCCTATGTTCTAATGTTGAACTGGTTTTATAGTCGCTTTGGCACTTGGCCTGTTGCCATGCTTGCACCAAGCAAGAATAAAGCTGTTTTGGAGGGTCCAGTTTGCAATGCAAGCCAAGTGATTGGATGGCATACAAATGAGAAAAGTAAAAGACTTCGTAGGTTTCATGTTGATATGTCTGGATTTGCATTTAACAGCACAATATTGTGGGATCCAAAGCGATGGCGACGGCCTACTTCAAATCCTATTCGACAGTTAGACACAGTGAAGGAGGGTTTTCAAGTATGCCTCCTATCATTACTCTTTAATCTTCCCTGCCCTATTAATATGCTCGGATGTCCTTCCCATTTCATATTATTTTGTTGCTTAATATCATCTGCAATTCTTATAATCAGTAAACTGATATTATCTTGGGTTTGACAGGAGACCACCTTTATAGAACAATTGGTAGAAGATGAGAGTCAAATGGAAGGTTCACCTCCTGGTTGTTCGAAAATAATGAATTGGCATCTCCATTTAGATCCTCATAATATAGTTTATCCCAAGGGTTGGATGCTTCAGAAAAACCTAGATGCTGTCATACCCGTCAAGTAATCGTCTACCAATTCTATTGTGAGTGTGTGATAGGTATGAATTGATCTGATTGTAACGTGGTATATAGAATCTTGTAATTCTCAAGCAACTGCAGAATGCCGTTCACTACTAAATTCTCATCTGTTTAAGTAATACTTTAGAATATAGAATGTTGTTAACTTTAGAAAGTTTGTCTCATTTTAGGCTGTCATGATTGTAAGAGCATCTCCTCATCCCTCCCTCCAAAAAAAAAAAAATTCCCCCCTTTGTTTTGGGCCTTGCAAAAACTTGAAATTTATGTAGTTTAAGAAAATTTTAATGGATTTATAGCTTTAACTTCATTGGAAGCCAACTGAACTTAGCTTTTGTTCATGACAGTTTGCCCATATTTGGTATTGGTTCATCACTGAATAGATGGGTGCATCAGTTAGCCACCATTAGCACTAATGCATTATGTCGCCCGGCAAGACAGGAACAGGTTACTGATTTTGTTTCCAAAATTCTCTTGCACAAAATTATTTGCAGGGGAAAATTTTTGCTGTTGTAAAGTATGTTGCCTTATATCTTTGAGGGAGAAATATATCCTCCAAGAAGATGAAAAAAATGTTTTAATCAACTTGTTTGATTTTCAACGGTATACACAGCTATGTATTCGGTGGATGTTTCATCTGGGGGCTGTTTCTGATTTAGGCCTTGCATCAAAATCCGCAGAGGGTAATTTCTTAAATGTACTCCACTCTTCCCATTCCTATGTATTCTTTAATTGATGGTATTCTTGCAATACTTGCTTAATTTTGATGAACTTCTACATAAATTGACCTGTACCATAAAGTATGCAAGCATTTGAAAGCCCCTAAATCTGGATATTTATCGCAATTAAAGACCATGTGATAGTAGACAATTATTTGTTTTACTTGTTAAAAGGACAAATGGCAAAGGAAAAATTAAGACTGGTGAAGTCAGTAGATGCTCATGAAGGTTAAGTAGGGTCAAACTTGATGCTGATATATGAGTAAATGAGCTTTGTTTGTGTAATAGGCAAATTTTATAGTACTATTAAGCCAATCCGATTGGACCATTTGATTTTCTTTATTTTAATTAGATTTAGGTTCAATCTAATGTGTATCCAAAAAAAAGATTCAATCTAATGTTTCGAAAATCATCTTTGGTGATTATATCAATGAATCATGTTTACATGAGCTACTAGTCCTTTATTTCAACTCAATAGTCGGTACAATGTGTTATTCTGGTGGCACTGTCCAACGAAGCATTTGCCATGGCTTGTGCTTTAATAATTTGGGTGTATAGAGGTCGACATTTTTTCATACCATCGTCCTAAAAATTTGTGCAATTAATTTATATGATGTCACAGGAACTTTTAGTCACACTCAGGGAGCGTTTGGTAGAGGAGAAATTTTTTTTTACTAGGAAAATACGATTACTGGGGAAATGGTAAAAAAGTAAGTTTGATAGAAAAATTTAAGAAAAGATGTTTGGTTGATCAAAATATTACCGAAGAAATATTTGCATCAGTGTTATTGTGGAATATTTTTTATTACACCTTTTTTCACTTCTCCATCCATACCACATTTCCCATCTTTTCAAGTTGCTTAGTATTTTTTTTCAATAGCTTGTACCAAACGTGGTATACACCAATATCCACCCACACTTCCCCATCAAACCAAAAATAAAACTTATACCAAACACACCCTTAAAGCATGGTGCTTCTAGCTTGCAATACCTGAAAATCATAAGGCAAAATCCAAAATATTTTGATAATACATTTGTGAACTACTTATTTTTAAAGTCTGTACAAGCCTGTAAATTTCCCAATTTTACAAAATTTTAAGATCAGGTTGCGAAGGAAAAAAATTCCTAATTAAGTATAATGTTTTGTTTCAGTTTTGACAAAAAAAAAAAAAGATAAGCAATTCAAATTGAGAATCAAGTTAGATCATGAAATTGACATTAATAATTTGTTTTATCAAATTTCATAAAAATAACCAATAAACTTAAAAATACCATGGACAACAAGCGAGGGAAAAGAAGTCACCAGTTAAAATGGCAAAACGGATTACGACTACCGGAAAGATAAAATAACAAACTTAGGGACTTTGGGTCTTTTCTATTGCTACAAAGAGAAGTAAATGTTTTAACCATCAGGCACGATACGAAAATACGATTGATGTTTTGAGCTTTTGAAGGCTTTATTTGAGTGAGAAATCATGAAAAAAATAGCAATCTAAAGAAGTATTTAGGAAAACTAAAGTCAGGTTAATAAACCTAATTTGTTCGGTCACGGGTCAGATCATGCGAGTTCAAGCGTCTACCTAGACCCACGAATACCCCTACGAAACATCCAACTGTAATAGAGTTAGAATTTTCAGAATATCTAATTACTCCATGATTTAAATTAATTCATTTTTATAGTCAATCCCCAGGGGTTAGAAAAAGTAAAGATGTGACAATCCGAGTCGAGACCTTAGGAGCTTTTAGAGACTCAATTGCATTTTGGCATTATCAACATTATGGCATCCTTTGGGGAATGAGGGCTATGCAACCACACCAACAGGAGGATAGTCCATATTTCACGCCCATTAAAATGCAGGAATAGAACATCAAAATTGGATGAATAATATTACAATGGAAAATTAAAATAAATAAATAAAAAAACTATGATACATTCCTCGAGGCAGGCTGGGTGGATATCCTGGAGCACTAGAATGAGCCTTCTATTCATGCAAACTTCGTACTTGTGGATGCATGCCCCTGCAATGACAAGGTCCAATAGATTCTGAAAAAGCTGCATTCTGGTTCAAATAATTAGTCAATTTATAAACTGTTTGCGTGTGTATCTTCTTCTCCTGGGATGCCTGAAAACCCTGGGAAATTGACCAATCTCCACAACATTTTCAATTGGGCCAGTTACAAAATTCCTGTCAGTTACTTAACTATCATGTCAGAGTTGCCCCGTTAACTGATGAACTGTCAGAAGGGTGCAATGAAGTTGACAAATGTTGCTGCATATGTGTTTCATTTGCAAGACCAAGAACGGCAAAAGTTGATCTGCAAAGAACGGCTAAAGGTCATGTGCTGCATATATGTAATTTTAGTTAATCACAGAAATTCAGACCAAGCTTCTCTAACACAGAATGCAAAGGAGAATATAAAACTAGAAAAGTACAGGATATTGTATATCAATTTTTTCCTCCTAGAATTTATAAAATAATCATCCTTAAAAAAAGTTGTTCATTGATGTGAGATAGAATTTGATTTCCTCATGCGTCTTCTGAATTATTTATTGCTATGTTTTCATTTTTAATGTTATTTAGTTTTCTGAATTTTTTTTTTCTTCAATTTTTTGGTACTTTTTATTTGGGTTCATATGCCACTGACTCCAACTAGTTTGGAATGTAGGTGATGTTGATGTGTCAACAGACCAAAAAAAAAAAAAAAGGACCCTAGCATTACAAAGGTCCCACTATGTGCAGGTCTGGGGAAGCTCTATAGTAGGGGCTTTACCTTGCAATTGTATAAGATTGGTAAAGTCAATCAAACCTATGATCTCTCTGTCATATGGCCACAACATCAGCCATTGGGCCAAGATTCCCCTTCATAATGGACCACGTGAACTAAAAAAATAAATCAAATCTAATATCTTATCCACTATGACCTTCAAACCTAAATTTACATTTTAAAATATATGAAAAATAAACCCAAGCTCTATAGTACAGGATTATGTCTTGATTGTATCTCTAAGGAAAAATTTGCTTATTTTTTTATATTTCTTAATTTATTTCCTATTTAAAAAGTTTTGGAATTTAATATTAGTATAAACAGGGATTAATGCTTTGTAATTTGTATGGTATCATAACACATCAAATCAATACCAATTTCAAAGAATTTAGTCATTATTTTCTCTTTTCTTCCTTCTCTACCAAAATCTCTATAATTCCAACATATTCACTGCTTCGGGAATAAAAGCAAACTATTGTATCATTCATGGAATCCGTAGACAATACAAAAAACAATATTGTATCATTCAACTTAAGTACTCTTGAACAGTTTCCCGCCTTCGATTAATGGCCCAAAAAGTTCAGAAAAAAGTCCTTATTTTCTTTTTTATATTTGCTTAATAAATTAACTTGTTTCCTAGGATCAAATTACAAGCTTAAATTTCAGATTTTAAGACAGAATTTTTTCCTTGAACAGGAACATGAACAATATAAAGCTCCTAACACTTCATATTAAACTACAAACTGAAGGGGACAAAAGTGTACCCTGATGAGGCACTCAAAGTTCACTGGAAAAGAAGTTGATGGATGCCTTGCATACCCCCCACCCCTTGTATTTTTCTCACTCTTTTGATAAGCATATCTAGAGAAAGCTTACCTAGGAAGCGAAGATTTTACAGCTATTTGGTTGGATAAAAAAGCAAGGAGCGTCTGAGATTGATTTTAAGACAAAGTATGTTCTATCTTACGTAGGAATATAAACAACATACAGCTCCAACAGTTAAGGGATTCATATATGTACCCTGATGAGGCACTCTAAATTCATTGCAAAGAAGTTGATGGATGCCTCTTTTTTCAAATAATCATATCTATAAAAGCTTACCTAGTAAGTGAAGATTTTACAGTTGGTTGGTTAGCATAAGCAGCAAGAGGACCTCTGAGATTAGCATGCCTGTTGAGTGCGCTTTCCAGTTGCTGAGGTGGCAACTGCGCAAGGCGAATACAAAGGTTATGATTCAAGATTACAAAATAAAAAATGTTACGAATGTTGAGAAAGCAGTACCTGCAATAATACATGAAAAGAACGTGGCTGAGTTTGATATACACATTTTAAGAAACCAACCCAAAGTTTTGGCATACGCCACACCTGCACTCAGTATAAAGCACAACATCAGCTGTCAAAAGCCCTGATCAGAATAAGCTGAATTACTGATTAAGCAAGCATACCTGTTTAGTGACAAGTTTTGAAAGTATCTCCATAACAAAATCAACCTAAAAACAGAACATTGATATTAGAAGTATAAGTTCATGTTTCTACATGTCATCGTACAAGACTCCTAAACACCAAAAAGTAAAAAACAAAGTTTTAAAAACACTAAACTGATAGAGTTTTCAAGGGTCAATGGAGTTGAATATAAGTATATATTTATTTATCAATATATACTAATATATAAACGCCAGAACTTGTTGGTTTATTTAGTGTCTTAAACACAGAAACCACCACCTCAAAAAGATTTGACATTCATGTTAGTGCGTGTCAAGACGCTTTTTAAAGCATGAGACTATATATCTAAAAATAGCATACTATGGACACACAAATAAGCACATTGTCAAACAAACTAAAATTGTGAATGCAGATATTTTTAGCATCATTTAATAGTTCAATGACATTGTTAAATTAAAGGAGGAAAACCTCAGTTTGAAAACATAAGTTAATCTCACATTGTTTAGATCCCGCTGAAATTATAGGGATTTAGCTATAGCAGGAGGAAGGATAGAAAGAATAAAGACTGAATATTATGTGTTATGATGTAATGTGATGCAATATGATATTCTAACGGATCCATAGGACCGATATCAAACAAAATCCCTCCAATTTTTATTTTATTTTATTATTTTTTGGGTGGAGTGGGGTAGGGAGTGGGCTCCAAGTTTTTGAGATTATAAGTATTGTTCCTCTATCGGATCAGTTCAGAAATAAGACTCTACGATTAAGCTTTGGAATGTACCAATGACTCAATGGAAACCATTTTATACTATCACTATCTCACAGAACAACCCCTCTACCCGTAACCTTTTATTCCCTAAGTATGTACTTCCTGTCTTTTTCGGAGGAACCTTGCAGGTGAATTGGGAGGGATGATAAAAGAAAATCCCATTTTCTGGCTTCTATTTCATACCTGGCTAAAAATATAAGCTACTCCATGGTCCAGAAAGTATTTCTTATCGTCTACATTTTGGTAAAGAAGGCCGTCATCCAAGAAGGTACATAAAAAAACCAGAAAAGAATTTTGCTTATCTCCCCCAACCCCCACCATTTTTTTTTTGCCACCCTAAGGAGAATGCTGGACATATTGATGTTACAACTTAACAAGTCTTAGCTCAAAGTATCTATATGCAAAGTTTTAATATAATATTCATCATGATAACCGGTAACAACCTGCAAACTCTAATGTCCATGTCACAAAGGTATAAGCAAAGATGAGAAATTGAGGACACATCACCAAAAGCACCTCCGTTCACCTTATATTTATTATTACAGCTGTATTTTCAACTTTGGAATTTTTTTATTATCCACAAATTTTCATACTCTAATTAGCCCGAAAATAAAGGATTAAGTAAAGACATTGGTTGAAGCAATTTCTCAAAAATAAAATGACAAATTGAAAATATACCTCCATCAGTCAAATCTCATAAACTAATGTATTCATAATCCATTCCCCATTATACCGGTATACCACATATCATAAAAAGAGAATTCAGCTTCACCATAATATCTTAGCACTCACGAAATGCATTAACAAAGCAGGAATGCATGGACACCAAAAATTGAAAAAGAAATTTACCAATGCAGGAAAAGCATCAATTGCCTGAATAACTGTTCTCATGAAAAGCAGAGGCAATGGAGTTTGATCAACCTGAAAATTTTAAGAATAAGGCAAAAAAGAATTGATGTATATCCAGTATTATTAGCGAACATATTGAATCTCCTTACCATCTGGTTCAATGCCTTTGCCAGAACCTGCTGTGTGAAAACAGTACGTTGCTCAAAACAAGCCGAGCAAGCATCTGTTATCTGATAGCACAAAACAATAATTCACAAGTCACCTCTTGGGCTTTAAAATTTTTCAACAGTTGAGACAATATAACTTATGCAACTAGCATTAATGAATAGGATCATACAACCAATCGGACTCTGGTTAGGTAAATGGTAATGGGCTAATGGAAAAATACTACGATTATATTTGCAACAAAGTTTGATTCCTAATAATAACCAAAGTATCAAACCACAGTTGCATTCCAGATTGCAGACAATCATACAGACAATCACAATCAGGCCAGAGCTTTTCACGCAAAAGACAAGAATAACGATTGCATTATTTCTAAACAATGCTTTCCTAGAGCTTTTCAAGCATAAGATGAATCATGATTGCATTGTTTCTAAAATATGCTACCATTACAAATAGAAGGCAGCTAAAGAGTGGCAAAAGGTATATTAAAATTCTGAGGGTAATAATCATGTATTAAAATTCAGAAAATCTTTCATGAGAAAATGAACCAGTATTAGGGGGGGGAATAACCAGACAACTGGAAAAGCAGTGAACAATTAACTGCACCAAGACACAACAGTTGCACTCGTTGGGCTTGATAAAAGTACGCAAAGTGTCCCCATTGCCCCAGAACAGAAACATGATGAAAACAGGAAGGTCAGAAGTAGATCAGCGGCAATTACAAAATCACTCCAAATAGCCAAAAAGACCATATACCAAAACATTTTGATTTACAACATATATTCTTAAAGAAATACGTCAACTAGAACTACAAAGTCATACAACTACACAAATACAACCTACCTGATCTGATTCCACTATAATAATTTATCAGTTTAAGCAAATATCAGCTTGATTCTTTAATAGCAAGGGTCATGTTTAAATCTTGAGTATGATCCAATTAACATGTTTTTATTTGCACTCACAAACTTAAGCATGTGACCTCAAACAAAAGCTTAATACAATCACTTTTTCATAGATCATCAATAGTCTGCCATAATAACAAAAACTGAGTATATCTTAATAACTTCTGCCCCCAGATGTGAAGGAGGAGGAGGGAAAGGGGACTCATAGCACAAGTTTAGCTATATAAAATGATAAAAGACATGCCTTCTTAAGTGCAAGGCCATCTTTCTCTGGAACAATTCCATGGATTGCAACCAACACTTCAACAGGTGTTAAAGCTGGACCTGTATGAGCTGAACCCTGCCACAAACAGCTTCAAATACTTATAGCCTATATTAAAGGGGAAAGATACAGTATATGTGAAGTTATAGTTGGAAAACATTTGCATTTAAAATTTCAGTTTTTTACTGAGGCTAACCTAAATATAGGTTCCTGGGTACCCAAAAGAAAACTGATGAATGGAAGAGTGGAGTGTGAACTAAACTGCAGTAAATGCCCCAGACTCCAGGTAACCCAGAACATTAAGCGTAAGAGACATACAACATGAAATTCAGCTTGAGAATTCACATATACCTGTAGTATGTGAGCAAGTGCCCTTTGAAACTTTTCCAATGGAAGGTCGACAAGCCGAGGGAATATTGGTAAAACCTGCTACCATAAAATAATGGGTTTTATAATTATCATGTTGAATGAGAATTGAAATCTTATGTTGTAGAGACAAAAAGCATGTGGATCCCATATGCTAGAAAAAATTATATGTAGGACCCATGTCAGCACGAAAATCAAAGGGTGTGTAGGAAAATTTCAATTCTCATGTTGAATGAGAATTATAAAACCCATAAATAATTGATGTTCAAGCCTATTAAAATATATCCACCACTCATACAGCAAAAACATGACAACTAATATCATTATTATCATTGCATCATATGCTTAAAGTTAACGATATAATGTTTAAGGAGAAAATGCTGTGCCAGATTTCCTCCTGCTACAAAGATGCTAGTTTGCAAACCAATCAGAGAGAATCGAAGAAAAGACGAGAAGAGCAGAGAGAGAAAGCTGAAATATTATATTCTTGACCTAATTAAAAGGAGGCACTGTACAATACATATATAGGGCTGTAGATGGACAGCTTAGCAAGAAAAGAAATGTTCTAGAATATGTACAGCTCATCCTATTCTAACAGATAAAATTGCAAAGAATATAATTACAATAATATCCCTAATATGCCCCTGCAAACTCATGTGTGTGGAGAGAGCTGTGTGGAATCCAGAACCATGAGTTTGGTTCTAATATCAGCAAAGCGGGTAGTAGAGAGAGGCTTGGTGAAGGTGTCAGCAATTTGGTCATAGGCTGGAACATGAGATACTTGAAGTTGTTTAGCAAGGACCTTTTCACGGAGGAAGAAAATATCTAATTCCATATGTTTAGTTCTAGCGTGTAGGACAGGGTTATGAGAAAGTGCAACTGTACTTAGATTATCACAGAAAACAAGAGGCACTTGAGTAGGGACTTGTAGTTCACACAACAATGATTGAATCCAAATTAATTCAGCGGCTGTTAAGGCAAGACTTCTGTATTCTGCTTCGGTACTTGAACGAGCTACAAGAGTTTGTTTCTTTGACCACCAAGAAATCAAATTAGGACCCAGAAAAATACAAGCACCGGATGTTGATCTACGGTCATCTGGATCGCTTCCCCAATCTGCATCACAGAATGCAGTTAGAGGCATGGCAGTGGCTGGATCAGCAGACTGAAGGAGAAGACCAAAAGAAATGGTTCCATTGAGATATCTAAGAATTCTTTTAACAAGCTTCCAATGCTCCTCAAGAGGCTGACTCATGAATTGACAAGCTTTGTTTACAGCAAAGCTAATTTCTGGTCTTGTTAAAGTTGCATATTGCAAAGCACCAACAACAGACCTATATTGATAAGAATCTGGGTGGTAATCAGCACCATAACGAGACAGTTTACAGCCACCAATCATGGGAGTGGATATCCCTTTTGCATCAGCCATATCAGTCTTGACCAAAAGATCTTTAATATATTTTGATTGAGAAAGAAAAAGAGCACCTGAAGAAAGTCGTTTAACTTCAATCCCAAGAAAATAATCAAGCTCACCAAGATCCTTAAGAGCAAACCGAGAATGAAGATGGGAGATAATTTGTTCAATAAATTTGGCATCATTACCGGTGACAATGACATCATCCACATAAACCAGAATATAAATGCAGTGAGATGTGGTGCGAAGAATAAATAGAGAAGGATCACACCGGCTGGTCTTGAACCCCAATTGGAAAAGTGTCTCCTTAAGTTTGTCAAACCAGGTTCGTGGTGCTTGTTTAAGGCCATAGAGAGCTTTGTGAAGTCTACAAACAGCAGTCTTGTCATGTGATTCAAAGCCAGGTGGTTGTTGCATATACACCTCTTCCTCTAAAACACCATTGAGAAAAGCATTATTTACATCAAGTTGCCTAAGAGTCCAGCCAAAGGAAAGAGCAAGAGTTAGTATGATGCGGACAGTTATGGGTTTTATAACAGGAGAAAATGTTTCACCATAATCAAATCCAGGCTGTTGATGAAAGCCCTTTGCTACTAAACGAGCTTTGTATTTATTTACAGAACCATCTGGGTTTTCTTTAATACGAAAAACCCATTTACATCCTATTGCTTTTCTGCCAGGGGGTAGAGACACTAGGGACCAAGTAGCATTGGCATGTAAGGCAGTAAGCTCATTTTGCATAGCCTCAAGCCACTTAGGACTGGCCAAAGCTTGTTTAACAGATGTAGGCTCCATAGAAGTAACAAGAACAGAGGGTTGAGCTGCTGTTTTGGACCGTGTTGTGATGGATCTGGCTGGTGAAGGAGTGCCAAGAGATGATGAAGGTAAGTACTCTGATGGAGAGGATGATGTTGGAGAAGATGGAGAAGAAAGTGATTCTGGAGTAGATGGTGCAGAAGAAATAGGAGAAGGAACCATGGTAACAGGTAAAGAATTATTGTTATCAGAGGATGAAGTGGGATTAGGAGAAATGTTTTGAGTGAGTGGAGAAGAAGGTGTAACATGCTGACTGGCAACCAAAGAAGAAGTGCTATTAGAAGATGATGCAATAGAAGGAAGGCTATGAGATGGTGCCTGTTCAGCAAGTGTTTTTGGTATTGGAATGGTGAGACTGAATCCAGGAACTGGATTTTGAGAGGAATTATCCTTGGAGAACAAAGAAAGATAAGGAAATCTAGTTTCATGAAAAAGCACATCTTTAGAAACATACAATCTGCCATCAGCACTTAAGCATTTATAACCTTTATGACTGGATGAATAACCAAGAAACAAACACTCTAGAGATCTGAATTGGAGTTTATGCTGATTATAAGGTCTCATGTGAGGATAACAAGCACAGCCAAATACCTTGAGAAAGGTGTAATCAGGGATTGTTTTGTATAACTTAGTAAACGGAACTTCAAAGTTCAAGGCTGTAGTGGGTAATCTATTAATGAGATAAACAGCAGAAAGAAAAGCATGATCCCAAAACTTTAGAGGCAAAGAAGCATGAGATAACATTGTTAATCCCATATCAACAATTTGTCTATGTTTTCGCTCAACAAGACCATTTTGATGGTGTGTGTGGGGACAAATAAGTCTGTGAATGATACCAAGAGTGGCAAGATACTTTGTGAAAGGTCTAAATTCACCCCCCCAATCTGTTTGGACAGCTTTAATGGAAGCTTTAAACTGGGTTTGAATTAATGAATGAAATTGTTTGAACACATCTATTGCTTCAGATTTTTGTTTGATAAGAAAAATCCATGTAAAGCGTGTGTGAGCATCTACAAAGGTTATGTAATAGGAATATCCCATGGTGGACAACATAGGAGCAGGACCCCAAAGATCACTAAACACCAAGTCAAATGGTTCGGCATAAACAGTAGTTGAGGGAGAAGAAGGTAGTCTGTGAGACTTGCCCATACAACATGCTGGACAGAAATTAAAAGAACTTTTATTACTGAACTGAATGTTACAAGATTTCAAGACAGTTTTTAAAGCCTCATGATGAGGATGCCCTAGTCTATAGTGCCAAAGGGCATAAGATGTGTCTATATCTTGAACACCATTTGTGAAATAAGCTGAGGATGAGTCACTTGAATCAGAGAGAGTTGCTGGAAGAACAGTAGAGAAACAAGATGGAGCACACGATGATGATGGATGAAGAGAAATGTCTTTGAACCGATATAATCCATCACTACCAAGAACACCTTCAAGAAGAATTTGGTGAGAATCCTGTGATTTCACAAAGCAAGAGTGAGGATGAAATTCAAAATAAACAAAATTATCTTTGGCAAATTGACTCACACTGACCAGATTCTTTGTTATAGATGGAACCAAAAGAAGATTATTGAGAAATAGAGTAGTGTGTGGTTTTAAAGGAGATGAAAATTGTGAAGAGCCTACTGCTGTTATAGCCAAACCTTGACCATTTCCAAGCATGACTTGATCAGCTCCATTCAGTTGTGTACTTTGAAGAACATTTTGTGGGTCTGAGGTGACATGATGGGACGCCCCAGAATCTGGAAACCACTCCAAACCTAGCTGAGATGATGGAGGAGTAGGAAGAAGGCCTTGCTGGTTATATGGAAAGGTGTGAGTGGTCAATAAAGCATGGGATGGAGGCTGATTTTGTTGAATGCCCTGTTGTTGTGATTGTTGGAGGGTGTTTTGGAATGTGTTTATGCCAGAGAAAGATGGAATTTGGGACTGATTAACACCTTGTTGTGCTTGAGATGTTTTGGTGAAAAATGGCTGATATAGTTGAGGAGGCAAGATGCTTTGATGTGGTGAAAAAGGTGGTGTTTGTGAGGTTAAATATTGAGAATTAGAAGATGGTAGTTGTGTGGGTACAAAGGCAGATGGTGGCTGTGTGGGTACAAAAGTGGGGTCAAAACGATGCCAGCATGAGTGAACCTCATGTCCAATTTTATAACATAGTTGGCACTGCAAATTACTTCTTCCACGTCCTCTGCCTCTGTTTCCCCTTCCATTAGAGCGGCCTCTACCATGTCCAGCTAAATCAGATGCCCCCCTAAATATTGGGAGGCGTTGCTGCATGCTCTGTTCTGAAGACTGAAAAACAGGGGCAAACAGAGACTGGTTTGGGGCTGTGTTAGAGGGTTTAGAAGGAACAGATGCAGTAGGGTGTATATTTGGGTAATGAGTTGCATTAACAGATACTGAATCACTAAGCAAGGACTCTTGATGTTTAAGGAACCTAGACTCTTGAGACAGCAGCTCAATTTCAAGGTCATCAATAGAAAGTGGGCTCTCACGGGCATGGACAGTGGTAATAAAAGAGTCATACTCTTGAGGAAGTCCTTCGAGTATAAGCTCAACTTGTTCTTCATCAGATATTGGAGATCCGATGGCCATGAGTCCGTCTGTGAGTGTTTTAATTCGAGCAAGGTACTCTGAAATATTTCTTCCTCCCTTTTTAATGCTTCGTAACTCTGTGCGCAGCTGTCTGGCCTTTGATTTCAGAAGCCCATTAAAGTATTTGTGTGTTTTCTCCCATACTTGCCATGAATGAACAAGACCCAACACTTTATTCAAGATGGGTTCTGATAGAGTGGTCATAAGCCATGAGAGAAGGGTCTGATCTTGAGTTTCCCAAGCTGTATATGCTGGATTAACTTGATCTGCAGCACGATCTTCCTCAGTAAGGTATCTATGAGGAATTTGTGGGTTGATTAGATAACCTTGAAGCTGGTGAGACTTTATCACTGGTTCAACCAGCTGCTTCCAGACAAGGAAGTTACTCTCTGTGAGTTTTACTGTTATATGATGGGCAACGAGCCCAGATTTGGATTCGGCGGAAGCCATTTGGTAGGGAAGGGTTTGGTTCAGGCCCTCAAAGAGAGCTCTGATACCATCAGAGAGAATCGAAGAAAAGACGAGAAGAGCAGAGAGAGAAAGCTGAAATATTATATTCTTGACCTAATTAAAAGGAGGCACTGTACAATACATATATAGGGCTGTAGATGGACAGCTCAGCAAGAAAAGAAATGTTCTAGAATATGTACAGCTCATCCTATTCTAACAGATAAAATTGCAAAGAATATATTTACAATAATATCCCTAATAACCAAGCATGCTTAATATAAGTTTTAGAATAAATTTCACCAACTGGATCTAGATTTGACTTTGGACAGATTCTTTCAATTAACTAAACACCAACTGAAAGGAAGCTTATTAATGAGAATCTTGTCATCTAACAAGTGTTATAGATAGGATACTGAATTTATTATCTGATAAGTTATGAATGTTCTGGATAGGACCCTGAATCATGCTACCTTATTCATAATATTTCTAGCCATAAATACTTTATCAAGGGTGTGGATAGAAATTTAGTGATTGCAAGCATTCTGTTAGGAGGTCAGGGGGAGCCCAAAACAGTGAAGACCTCCACCAATAGGTTAAGCAGCAAACCCAAACTATAATAGTGGGCTTCACAAGATATCTTGACCCAAAACCTTAATGTAATGAATCTATTGGTCTTTTCATTTATATGGTCTTCACTTAGTCTATTACCAATCAATACAGGACTCCATCACTCACACTTTAATAGAGTAACTACAACAGTTACAACGTATATAATAGTATGTATGTTAGTGCAGCAATAGATAGCTGCTGCTCTTAGAGTAACTGATTTACTCCTATTCTGTTGAGAATTAGTTAGTTTGGTGAACTTCTGTCTGCTGAGCTGGCAAGTCAGATCAGCCACAGTTGTAACAGCTTCAGAACAGTTAAGCTTGCTTTGCAAGCTGCCTTGTCACTCTATAAATACAGCCTCTGTTACACAGATAGCTCATCATCAATAGAATCAAAATCTCTGACGCAACTCTCTCTCTCTCTCCAATCTCTCCTCTCCTTTTTCGATTCTATCTAAATCTTTTACACTTGAATTCCACACATTCTCATCCTCAAGTGTGATTCCTAACATCAAAATGCTCCTCTTAAGCATAAGCCTCTTCAAGTATTAATGGGTTTACAACATGAGTTTGGCAAGCAAAACCCAAGCATCAACCACCATATCTAAATACTCAGAACCTAGCCAAACCATTGTTTGTGATACCATTGTTAGGTGGTCGGAGGAAGACCTCCATCAATGGGCTAAGTAGCAAACCCAAACCAATATAGTGGGTTTGACACCACATCTTGACCCAAAAACTTAAAGGCAATAAATATGGATCTTTTAATTTATGTGATCCTTACTTAGTCTATTCCTAACCAATGTGGCATTTCATCACTCACTTAAATTCCCAACACATTCTTATGAGAATTTACTGATCCAACAATTTCAGACCTGAGAAGCAAGCAGCAGATTGCCTATACTGATAAATAATTAAAAGATGGGAAGTAAAACACCCTTAACATTAATATAAAATGGAGTGCTTTCTGCTTGCACTCTCATACAATGGCTTTGTCAAAAAAAAATTTCCGAAAATATTTTATATGCCAAAATGAGAGACCCACAAACAATTAGACTGGAAATTTTATTTTAAAGGAAAATTTCACAAGAATATACATGGAAAAGTAAAAGAAGAAGGAAGTTATCAATATGACCTCCTTTTTGGAAAGCGATGGCAGTAACGGTACAAGAATTGTAACATCCTGCCATGGAGAACCAGCCTCAATAAGAAAACAAGCCAAAAATCTAAGCATTGGCAGAAAATTTTACAATGCTTTTAGTTGTGAGACATACTCTAAATTTAGTTTCATATAAACTTTTAACGGTAGATATCAAATCAGAAGATGGTGTTGTGTCTTGAGTCAATATTTGCAGTACCTTCCAGAAAACAATATCAACATTAATATCATCATTCATATAGTAATCTACCTTCATTGACATAACAAAATAAGCTATAGGAAGCTACCAGTGTGAGAAGATTTTCACTTCCTTGTGGAGGATCAGATATGACATGGAGCAATTCAGAATAAGATTGCCCTAATGCCCTCACAACAATAGGAATATGGCGATGAAAGGCCTGCATAATCATACGTAGAAAGGTCAGAAACAACCACTAGCGCCCAATGTTGAAATTATAGGATTTAAGCGGAAAAGAATGGCAATCTGGTGCTATAAAGCTCCCACTATATGCAAGGTTCAGGAAAGGGTCCTAGTAGGCTGGTGTAGAAAAAAAGAAAATGAAAAAATAGAAACTGAATAATCTAAAAGTGACATTGATCTGATGTAAAGATGTTATAAAAAGATATAATGAACCACTCTCGAGATGATCTAAGATATTCTATTATTCTAAGATATAATAATGAAACTATGAGATATTTTCTAGATATTCTAGCAATCCCCTCAAGCTAAAGACTAAGCTTTAAGTTTGTTCCAAAAGAATCCTTTAAAAAATAAAATAACATAAAACAATCATTATCATCATCTAGGCTTCACAAAACATGACTGGGAAGGTAATTCAAGGATGCTGGAGATGTCAGAGAGAAGAGCATTGGTCAAAATGACTGGAATGATCATCAGACCGAAGAGCTAGTATGAATATTGCATGACCAAGGAAGAAGAGAATTTGTTTGAATGATCATCAGTGGAAATTTCCTAGGACGAAGAAGAGCTACACTGCATTTGAAACTCGAGACGGAGTCAAACTGTACTTGGGACAGGAGACAAGGCCAAAACATCTGGAGCAAAAGATGGGGTCAGAGCATTTGAGACTAGAGATAGAGAAAATGGGGCCAAACTACATCCGGAACAAAGACATAGGCCAGAATGCATGCATCTAAGACAAGGGCACAAACATTTCCAACTTTCTCCTCTCAATGCTATGCTAGCATTGGAAAAGAGCCACATAGTAACCAAAGTAATGACATAGTACAAACCATAAATAACCACTACAAAGAATACCAAGCAACATCCCAAACATGTCAAACCTATGAGAGAGAGAGAGAGGGAGAACATGTCAGATTTAAGTGTTCAGCCTGAGGGAGCCAAACAACCACATGAAGGTGGCGAACAAAAACAATGGTAGTTGGGCTTGACTCGAGATGGTGCGACAAAGCAAACAACAGTGGATGTTAAAGCAATCAGGATGGTGACCAGTTGGTGAGGTGAGGTCAAATCTGGAAAGAGGATGTAAGGCGAGTCAAATGACATTGGCAGCAACCAGAATGGTGGCTGATTACGCTTTCAGTTGCCAAAAAAACGACTTGACAGGTTGTGGCAATGCATGACTACTTTGGTGGTGGCACAACTTGGTGCTTTGGATGACCGAAGGCCATTGAAGACGATGCTGGGGTTTGCCGATGAGTTGACGCTTGGACAATGACAGATCTAAACCAGCAGTGGCGTGGAAGAGAGGAAAAAAGGCAGTCTGTGTGTGTGATGGCATCTGGAAGGGCTTTAGGGGCAGGACCTTTGGTAGATGACTGAGCAAACGAAGATAGGCCTAGTGACTAGGTCACAGGAAATGTGAATGGCAGCAACAGATGACAACCAATAGAGTGGTCTACGGAAAAGTGACGCAGCAGAGGTGACAAACCAATCTCGGGATTCCGAAGAAGATGGCGGCTCAACAGGCAGAAGAGCCCACTAACAAAGATGAACTGGAGAGAGAAAAGGTGATAAGAATTTGTCACGAATAACAGGAAGGCAAAAGCTGGTTGCTGAAAATTTAGATATGGTGAAATAGTATACACCAAAGAAAAATTTTCCAAACTTTAGAAAACTTGGAGACTAAATAATCTGCAATTGATATTGATTTGATATGAAGATGTGTTACAAAAGACAAAGTAATAACCTTTATTTATGCTAATACTAGACTCCTAATTCAAAAGGAAACAAATCATGGAATAAAATGAAATACGTAGGCCACTCTTATGAGATCATCTAAGATATTTTATTTATTCTAAGATATTATGAGATATTTTCCAGATATTCTAACACCCAATTATAGCTAACAAGAAGAACCACAATGCAAAAGGTGAAAAAATAAAAACTCCTTCGCAGCACAAGGCCATGATTCATAGCGATGACCATGTGTGAAAATTTCATTTTTTTCATTGTGAAGCAAATAGTTGCATTGGTATTCCATCCCACATAATCACGAGCAAACCTAAATTGAGATTGAATATGCTAACAAATGTGTAATTGACTTGGAGAGAGGACAATTCAAGAATATATTCTCAATCTCAAACCACAATTTTTTGTCAAAGCCAATTATTATGCTACAAAGACCAGGGCAAAGTTCATCAGTCATGTGTTTTAGGTTGAGAAAGACTCTAGTTCCCCTATTGTATGCTAAAACAATAGTGCTGGTACACTAACATAATCAACAAAATAAGACCTGCTTTACAGTTCTCGGGGCTTGCCCATAGACATTAAATACAATTTGAAGAAGACTTGGTTTCTGCACGGATATGAAAATTGTGTTAGTATTACCAAAACAGATGAAAAGTAATCATCATTATAGTCATTGTCAAAATCTTATACATAAAACTAACCTTTGTACATAAAGCAAAAAACAAAGAAATGAAGCGTTGAGCTTCAGAAAATGATATAGACGGAGCACTTTGAACCATTGGTTTAGCAACTCTTGCAGAGTCATTTTCCAAAATTGTAGACTCTGAAACCTGTAATGTACCACTTATTTCCTGACTTTCAACCTGTGAAATCAAGTATGCAACTACCAATAATCAACTTATCAAGCACAACAACGACCAAGCCTTATCCCTCTAAAAGGGGCAGCTTTTACGCACAGAAATCACTAAATAAGAAGCCAAGGCAAGATTTCCACCTAATTTTCAAGCCATATTACATGCACTTTCATTTAGAATTAATATAAACTATTCTATACAGTCTTACAAAACACGTGATAACCAAAATGATATACAGAAAAAATAACAGAACTTAATTTCTTGATATTTTATTTACAGTAATGAATCTGAAAAAAGTCTATTTTACTAAGTAAGAAACAAGATCGCTTTGAAATGGAATAGTTACAGGATCAGAATCAAATAACTCAATAAGATATTTTAAAATTATAAGAATTTAAGCAGAGTAGGAGAAGAGAGAATTAACTCTAAGTAATAAAGTATAATATTGATCTACGGTCAATCTTTCAAAGGACAAAGCAACAACTCCTATATTTATTAATAGTATATTCCTAATCCTAATTAGATAAGGAAATATAGAAACCAATCCTAAAGGATTATCTAAGAACTCTAAACTATTCTAAGATATAATGATGATATTATGAGATACCCTCTAGATATTCTAACAAGATATATTATGGAATTCTCCACAGCAATCACTAAAAGGAATATAACTTAGAGAAAAGGCAATAGAAGGGGGATAATAGGAAATAGCATAAGTATAATACCTCTGCTTCGGCTCTTGGTTCAGTAGGTCCAGATTGTAAAAGACCCGTATCTGAAACTTTATGATCTACAGCAGAAAGAAGCATTTTTGTTGCGAATTTCTCAACATCTTCTGATATGTAACTAAGCTGAAAGAGCTTGTTTGTCACCTTTCCAACAAAAGCAAAGAATTTGGTTACATTATTAATTAATAGTCTGTCTGCTTTCAACAACCAAAAGTTTTAATAATTTATACCAGCCGAATAGCCTTTGCTCGAATCTCATCCTGATGGTGGACAGCACACTGCCATATTAAACCAATAAATTAGACATTGGAAAGACATTTCTATGAACAGTTTACATAACAGGAAAAGAAAGCCAAGGTTAATAAAACAGGCAAAACAAACTATGAAACACCGATACTTCAAAAACCCCGACGTGTCGTATCCGACACTCCCCGACACTTCAACGCGCGTTGTAGAGACTCAAAAAAAGGTTCAAAGGTTGCATTGCGTTACGTTTTTAGTTCTAACTATTAGATTCGTTGGATTACTATTACCATTTTATTGAATTTAATATAAATATTTGTGATATCTTATGTTTCTTTGCAAAATTAATAGGTATTATAAATTTAGCTTTAATTTTTTGTTAAATTATTGAATATTAAATATAATATACGCAATATAAATTAAAAATATTATTCAATATCAAAACGTGTCCTAACGTGTCAAAATCTAACATTTTTTAGAATTAACGTGTCGAAGTGTCATGTCGTATCGTGTCCCGTGTCGGTATCGGTGCTACATAGAAAACAAATAACAGTGCAACAACTACGTTGCAATTTCTGAAAATAAGTTTGGCAGAAGAATTATTTTGTTTTATGGGGTCAAACAAGATCAGATTTGATCCGGTGGTTCAGAAACTGCTACATATTTAGTTGTACCAGTAAACCCAAATGTAACATACTGGTGCCATCAAGAATTGACATATTAATAGAAAGCTCAACAAGTAATCCCCTTCCAAAGAACACCCCTGAAAATCCAAGACATTTAACCTATTTGTCTAACTTATATAAAATGTCATGGATTTGAACATCGGGCAGAAATATGCTAGCAACTACATGTGCTCAAACAGAATGCAAGGAGCAAAATAGACATCAAAGTTAATGTGATTTGACCAACAGCGAACTATAGCCCTGGCCATAAGCAAAAATGCAAAATAGCAATCAAATTCACTGTGAAAACAAAGAGTACAAGGAATAGTTTCTCAACATCAAATCGTAAGTCGTAACCCAATACACCCAAATCTTCGTTGTTGCAGAGACTTGAGCAAACTTTACAACCTAACAACCGGTTTACCATATATATCTCAAATAAATTTTAAGCTTGAAGATACAGTGTATATATGGCACATCTAGACTGATGAAGATACCAATACAATCATAACTCTATTGAAAACATATTTAAAACCCATAGGCAGCAGATAGTTTTAATACTTAATTATTCAGTCTTTTCTGCACATCTTTTTGGTCATTTTGTGTGCAACTCAAGTCCTTGCAACAAAGTGTGAGACTCCAATATGCCAGAGATGCATGACCATAAATAAATAGCCATGAAGATGACATACACTGTCCAAATGACAAATATTCTGCTCCTAGAGACTCATGACAACATACCTGCAATGCTATTCCTAAGCAAGCTTGACGATTTTGTGGACGCCCCAAAATTAAACTCCAGATAGCACCAAGGCCTTGAGTTACACGTTCAATATCACGGATAACTTTTCCATCATGATCAATAACATCAGAGTAGCAGAGATCGTTCAAAATCTTCAAGGCGGATTCAGGCAAAAGTGGGACTTCGCCAAGAAGTCTACTAAAAGACTTATCTGAAGCTGGAAAAGAATCCAATAAAGTTTTTGCCTACAAGGAAACAGCAAACTCAAGTTTTGTAAGAAAGAAATTAATATTGAAAGATACAAAAATACTATTAAATAAGACCAAACAACCAATTATGAGCCTACCACTCCCAAGAGAAAATTTTCATACAAAACAGCGGGAGATGAGGAGTTTCCAACTGAATCCAATATCATGAGCGAGCACAGATGGTACGAAATATGCAGAACAAGTTCATGTCCCTGCAAAATCCATATGTAAGTAATATGTCAGAATTACTTAAAAGAATTTAATGAACTGAAACAAATTTTGGATCATATCTGAAAACAGAATCATGATCTATTGATCTCCAACCATAACCATTAAAAAATTACTCCAGAATCCAGACAATTTTTGTATCCAAGGAATATTTTTATGAGCAATACTTGTAAAAAATAACAGGTGATAAAACAAAACTCTTCTTTGCCAACATGGCACCAGACGCACTTCTGAAATTCTTCATTCTTATGGATGAACAATTATTTTGATACTTTACCACCCCCATCATATGCACATTTGCAGAATTTTCAATCCTTTATGCTAATATTATTTGAACACACCCTTGATCATCCAGATTGCTCTATGTGGGTTTCTTATGTTCTCACAAATCATACTTATGGTTCATTGTACAAGAAGTAATAAATTATAAATGAGCTTGGTACACTACAATCTTCAGTGTTATATGTTTAGATTAAAAGCAAAAACTTGCAATGGCAGATGCACTAACAATTGTTTGATTGCAAATCTATATGATCAATCTACAAATGTCAGGATTCACCAAAAACAAACTTTATTAAAAAAAAAAATCTGCTTTGCTGGTGGAAATTTACCACAACGATTTTAATATATAAATCACTACATTCATATAAATGCTTTTAGTAACACTTAATATCATCTGATAGAAAAAAAAATATCTGAACCATAATGTAAAATACCATCATATGCATTTTAAGCATCCTTCAATGAATGTGTGTAGATCTAGTACATTTTTGGATTCATAATGCAAAAATAATGTGCAAGTCTGACTTTGATGCAAGAATATCAAAGGATGATGCCTTGCTTGCAATAGCAAGTACAACTTTTCATGACACTAAGATGTATAACAACATATTGGAAAAATCATGGCAACAAATGCATTTGAAATATATTCGTCAAATTTCCATTACTCCATGACAGGGAAAAAAAGTAGAAATAAATTTATTTAAAAATTAGAACAGATTTTAAATTGCAGAAGGGCACCTTTCTCCAGTGGTCTTCCAGGATGAGTTTTTGCAGCATCACAATAAACTCATTATCATCATCAATCTGCAAGGGATGGCCAATAAAGTATTTGGTAATGCTATCAGAATTTATGAAGACAAGAAATTGTTAAAGCAGATACATGCTCCAAAGTTCTTTATGTTGTACACAATTTTTGCATAGAGCTTGTATTGCAGCTGATTATTTTATCTCATGTGAAAAGCTCCAGTTTAATGTTTCATTTTAGTAAAACATATTCGTCCCATTTTTCATCCTTTAAGTAGCAAAAAAATGTGTTTGCTAAACTTTTGTAAACATAATTTATGAGACACACAACCACATTTATTCAATAAATTTTTTTATTAAGAAAACAGCCAGTTCAGCATACAGCCAATTCCTTGTCCTATAAAATATTACAACCAAAATTTGGTTAGTTGTACCTCTGAATTTCTTATATTTAAGGGATTAACTTTATATACTAGCATATAAATGCTTAATAACTAAACATTACGAGACAAAAACATTTGAATACTGATCTTAGACCACATCTAAAAGAAATAAAATAAAAAACAAAAATCGTATTTATTTTTTTGGTACATAAAACTGGTATTTTTATATCTTTAATAGAATTAAAATCATGAAACACGAGGAAAAACATTTTTCTACCTGAGCTACTAGTCGAGCAAGTAGTGTCATGCAAAACTGCTGACAATCTGTCCCATGCCAATGTTTGTATGACTCAATTATATGCCTAATAGCCGCATGTTTCAACCTACTTTCCTGCTCTTCGGATAGATCAACATATGGTGGAAGCGGTGGTAATTCCAGCAAGGTATCTTCTGATGAAGATGCAACTTGAACATCAAAGGAATACTGATCAAACTCTAAATTAGATGATGAATCCGTCCCATTTGTTTCAGTACCATCCGACTGCTTCACTGTACTCAAATCCTCATCTCTTAAATCAGCCAAAGAGAGAGAGGGATCTAAAGAAGTATCTGTTTCCATGATCCGGTGAATATCCCCAGGCCTTTCTAGAGCCTCTGTTTTGGGATTTACCCGATCAGGTCCTGAAACTGAGGGGGCTTCAGAGATGATATCATCATTTTCTATTAGATCTGTTGGAGTATTGTCATCAGTGTTTGCGACAGGATGCGAAACAGGCTTAATCAAAGACACGGAATCATCAAACTCAAATTTTGTGTCCCCAGTATCATCTGTGATTGATACAGCTGCTCCTCCAGGAGTAATTGCTACTCGTCGTGGATCCAGGCGACGGGGATCCTGAAAATTTGAACCAGATGGTTCAAGGTAATACAAGCTGTGTTTTAAGATAATAGATATAGAAATATGAGCTGGATGATGTCAATTCTTACAAAGAAAATCAACCAAATTTTACCCGGCGTGGATCACGTTTAGAATCAGCAGGAAGATTACTGAAACTAGAGGTGTCAGATGGTGACGAACTAGTGGCAGTGGCTGTAGTTGAAGGGAAAGGTGCTTGGGAAATAACACCCAAAGATTGGACAGAACTTATTGGAGCAGATGCTGCTATAACCTGCAGTTGACTGACTTGGGAACCTACTTGTCGAGTTACTGGTGAATTCCCAAGCCTTGCTAGAGGAGGGGTTGTCTTAGGCAAGTGTTTCATATTAGTTATGACAATATCAGCCAACAGATCAGGATGAATCTTAGAAATAAGGATTTCAAGAGATTCGGCACCTCTTTCACCTTCAGCAAGCAATGCACCAATTACGGCAATCATTTGCTCCACAGCAGTTAGTTCACTATCCAGGACAGGAACATTAGGTGATACTCCGTTAACAAAGCTAAGATCCTCCCCGGAATCATTTATTTGAGCTGGTAAAGTAAAGTGAGGGTCAGGACCAGATCGAATCCTCTTAGAGATGGTCTCGTGACCATTGGCCAGTTGTTCATTATCTGAAGGACCAGATCTTTTTCTAAATAATTCCCCTGAAACAGGTGACTGAGTTGATGGTTGATCATCCTGAGAATTAAAAAACAATTTGAATGTGATATAAATGGAGGGGAAAAATTGTAACTGGTGCTTAATGTCAGCAGCTTACTTTACAGCAAAAGGTAGCAACTCACTATTTACCTTGCTAACTCGAGCATCACGGGCAAAACGATCACCATTTTTAATCATTTTGTCAACTTGCCGAATGACCTGATCAGCAGCATCCCCAGCATTCATAGCTCGTAGGCTCCTTATCAGTCTTTCTCTTGACTGCAAAAAATCAGAAAATGAGATTTTGAGATAATGTATCTACTCATGGTTAGCCACATAAACACCACTCCTTATCTTTTAAACTATGAGCAAAGGATCCTAATAAGAAAACTACTTTCATATTATTGTTCTCTTGCTGCCCATGCAAGCTAGAATGGACTTTGTTCTTCACAATAAAATGCTTAACTGTGTACTAAAACTGAAAATAAAATGGCACAATAGGAAGGATAGGTAGTAACTGAGTATAGAGAAATTTGGAGTCAATTCCTAGATGACATTCTAGGATTCCATGCGCAAGCCAACGTGAAATTAGAACACTACCTGGTAGGGTAGGAGATGGTTAGTTAGAACCGTTAAGCAATTAAAGTTTTAGAGATAGGGAATTTGCTTATATAGGAGAAGGTAGAAGAGTGAGCATTCTGATTTGTTATCATTTGGAAATTGAGAATTAGCTCTGTTGTAGAAAGGGAAAACCCTTTGTGAAGGGGGAACCCTTGGAAGGAGAATTCTCTCCTAAGGTCTCACTTTGTAATTCAATAAACACAACAGAAGATTCCTTTTCTTTTCATTTCTTTGTTTTTCTCAATTCTCTCTCTCTGTGAAAACTCAGAATCCGGGTTCCTAACACTATCCATTAACAAGGCATAGCATCTCCAGAGTAGAATAAGTTCGATTTGAGATATTTATGAGAAGATTCTTTAAAGAGTAGGACCTCAAATTTTATGCTTAATACTGATATGTAGTTTGGGGGTATGATGTATAAATATGAAATTTTTGGCTTTTTTGTAGAATACAATAAGTCAATAACATAATGATTCCATTTGGCAAAATTTTGACAGATACAAAGTAAATCTCCAAGACCCAACATTTTTTGCCATACAATTAGGAGAAAATGTGTGTAAGACAATTTAAGTTAGAGGCTGAAATGTAAAATAAAAGCACTTTACCTCTAGAATTGGTGAATAAGTGCACCTTAGAAACCCCAAAAAAGCTGTCCTTAAGGAGTACTGAATACTAGCAACATGACATGCTTTCACTGTTTGAAAATTTGGATCAAAATCAAGCAAAGCTGAGAGAATAGTATCATAGTGTTGAGGCCTTTTCCTTGCAATCGATGCTAAACTGTCAAAACAAACACTTTACAGCATTAGATTTGAAATGACAGTGACAGAATGCAAGAGAAAGGAACTAGCATCTTAACCACAGAACTACGTGTAATTGCCATAGAATTTTATACAAACATTTTTAAGGAAAAAATAAGTCTCAATGCTGGACTATCTTCTTATCCAAATAAATGCCCCAATTAGATATTGAAAACGGAAAGAATTAAAAACTTTTCAATGCAGACAGGAATGTACTTGATTGCAGAAATAACATTGCTATAAGTTGGACACGATGTCATATATTGATTATGAGCACATTGTATTTTTCTTATATTTCTTTAATTATTTTATTTTTTGTGTTGTTGGGGGGGACTTTATTAAAATTCTGCAGTGACATAAAATAAACTGTCATGAAAAGATGGCGAAAATAAACACAAGCCTTTTGCACCAGGAAAGAGCCACAGTGGCTATGATTTGAGACTTTAAAAAACAAAAACATAAAACTCCATTTCCTGTATATATAAATTCATGTATCCTTTAAAAACAGTTTGCATGCACAAGCCAGAAGAACACATGTCAAGCCCTTTCCAGTGGTTGAATACAAAATAATACATTGCCAAATGGAAGGCAAAGATGAAGAAAATAAGAGATGACAGAATAATCCAGTATGACCAGCTTGTTATAAAATTCAAACTAATCAATCAGTACAGAAAACATTATCTATTACTAATCCATTCCAGGTTGAGAGACAGAGATAGAGAGAAACAATAAAAAGAAAGATGAACACAGATTGTCCAAGGTAAGGATTAGACAAAGCAGTTTCACAGGAAAACTTTCATTGAAACAAATATTTCATAAAATATGGAAGTGTAATTAAACAGAGAACACCACCTTTCCTCAAGGCAACATATTGCAATTTTTCACAATTCGATTGGATACATAGCCCAGGTTTCAAAGATGAAGAATAAAAAGGGACTCTCAAGAAGCCAAAAGACAGAACAAGAAGAAAGGGGAAAAGAAATAGCGGTATGTAATTTTTTCGTAGACATGAGCTGGAAGTTGTAAGATAGAGCCCTTAGATTTCTATCTCGGAGAGTAATAAAAGTATCAAACTACACATCTAATTAACACACATATAGGTTTCAATAATTTATGCTTCTCTTTCCGTAAGATTCTTCTAATTTTAACATGCAACAGACTAACAACCGCATCTCATCCAACTAAACATTCAACATCTGGCATGAGTCAACATTAAGGAAAATACAAAACTGCAATAAGATCATCCATAATTTTGAGATAACTAATCACAAAATGCTCAAATAATGCAGTGAGCCTATGTGGCATACAACTACAAAAAAAATCTCCATAGAATGTGAATAGCAGGTACAAACACGGCCTAAACCTTTATAGACTATGATGTTATTTATAAAAAAAATATATAAAAAGTTATATGTATCTTATATAAATATAACTCCATAGCCTTCATTCAACTTTGAACAATAAAGTTATAAAAATAAAACAACAAAACGCCATGAACACCATGAGCGAGAAATCTCATAGCAATGGTTAAAATAAAACACAAAACATAGCAAAAAAAGGAAGAGAGTTTACAAGGGCAAGATGCACCTGGGCATCAAATAAAGAGAAAATGCAGTACAAAAGTACAAGAATACTGAGATCAAACTAAATCATATTACACAACATCCTCATCAGTGGAGCTACAAAGCTCCAACACCATTATAGCACCACCACAGCCACTATCCCTAGCCTACTTGGTAACAATAATATACTAAAATTTCCAATAACAAAATCATTTTTTACTGCAAAACCTTCATTGCAGCAACATCATAACCATAATGCAACTAAAGTCACCTTGCACAAAATGACAAAAAGAGGCATCAAATGGTTGGAGGTGGGGAGAATGCATTTTTTCCACTGGTTTTGCCAATTAGAAAATTTGGGCAGAATAAGTCTAGTTCTAGGATAAAGACAACCAAATGTCAGCAGAAATTCTTAAATTGAACTTGTCTAAGCTAAAAGGTCAAAGCAATTGTCCACGCATAAAAATTCTAATAGATTATATATTGCATACGAAGAAGTTATAAGATTCAAATTACCAAACACTTATCCCATTTCAATTTCAGGTATTTTAGTTCCAAAGTCCAACATTATTCTCCAAAATTTTAATTTGTAAAGATAAGCCGGAAACTTTCAAGCTGGTCTATATGAATTATTCATTGAAGAAGAGAAGTGATGTGAGAAAAGAAGAAAGAGAGAGAGAGAGAGAGAGAGAGAGCATTGCCCAGAAATATTGTGAAGAGTTAAAGCCGCATCAGCAAAGGGATATTTATAGGTTCACATGGAAACCAACAGATCTAACCAATCTTAACAGAACCCAAACAGATATGCAACAAATCTCAACAAACTGACACCTCGGCAACTAACAGAGACAGATTTCAATTGACCGACACATCAGCAACAAACAGAGACATAGTTACAACTGTAATGATAACCGCCGAAATAGCTACTAAAGGAACAGAGGTAATCTGAGATCAGCTACAGTATATTGCTGCGTAACCTATGTTACTTCTCCAATACACCCCCCCCCCCCCCCAACAAACTCAAGGTCGATGGAGCAGCTACTGATGGTTCAAGACATTCCATTTGTCCCTGAGTTCACATAATCTTGGGGCTAAGAGTGGTTAGGTGAAAGTGTCTGCAATCTGAGCAGCAGCAGGAACATGCTGAACAATTAGATTCTCGGCTATGACCTTTCACAAACAAAGAACAAGTCAAGCTCCATGTGCTTGGTCTTGGAATAAAGAACCGGGATGTAGGGGAGAGAAACAGTGCTGAGACTGTCACAGAACATCATTAGAATCTTCACAAGCACTTGTACTTGCCTCTGTACCGGATCTATCAACAAGGGTCTGCTTCTTGGACCACCAAGAGATGAGGTTTGGCCCAAGGAATAAGCATGCACCAGATGTGGACCTCTGGTTATCGGGATCTGTGGCCCAATCTGCATTAGAAAAGGCAACTAGGGGAAGAGGCTGACCAGAAACAGCAAGGTGCAGCAGCAAAGCATGGGAGATAGTACCCTTTAGCCACCTAAGTATGTGTTTCACAATCTTCCAATGCTCTTCAAGAGGTTAGGAAAGCAATTGCAACACCTTGTTGACACTAAAAGCAATCTCAGATCTAGTTAGAATAGCATACTGCAGAGCCCCAACAATAGACCTGTACAAGTGGGGATCAGAGACACAATCAGCCCCAATTTTAGATTGTTTGCATCCTCCAAGCATAGGTGTAAAAATTCCTTTAGCCTCAGCCATGCTAACCCTAGAGAGCAAGTCTTGAATGTAATTGACTTTAGATAAGAGAATGGAACCACCAAGGAGAGGTTTGACCTCAAAGCCAAGGAAATAGTCAAGGTTTCCAAACTGCTTCAGGGCAAAGCCAGCATTAAGTTTAAAAATGAGTTGAGGTATCATCTGAGAATCGGAACTATTAATTGTTATATCATCAACATAGACTAAGATGTGGATGCAATAAGTAGCCACACAAAGAACGACGAGTGAGGGATCACACTTGCTAGATTTGAACCCAAGACGTAAGGTGTGTTTGCCCAAATTTCTCAAACCAAGCTCTAGAGGGCTGCTTGAGCCCATACAAAGCTTTCTTAACCTTTCAAACATAGGATTTATCAAAAGAAGCAAAACCAGGAGGTTGAGACATATAAACCTCTTCATGAAGCATTCCATTTACAAGGCATTATTGACATCAAGTGGCTGCGAAGGCCACTGATTAGTGAAAGCCAAAGTGATCTGATGGTAATGGGCTTGACTACCAGTGAAAATGTCTAATTGTATGTAAAATCATGCTGCTGATAAAATCCCTTAGCTACCAATCTAGCTTTGTATTTGCGGATGGAACAATATAGATTTTCTTTGATTCGAAAAAACCCACTTGCAACCAATGGTTTGTCTAGTGGGAGACAAGGGGACAAGTCCAGTTGACTTGAATAAATTCCACTTGCATAGCCTTGAAACAGTTGGGACCAAAAAAGGGTTGTTTAACCAAAGTCAGTTCCATATGAGTCAGCATAGCAGTACGGGTAAGGGCCTTAGATCTGGTAACAATAGAATGAATGGGGGAAGGAATGCCAATAGAAGAGGGAAGATATTCAGATTGAGAAGAACAAGGAGAGGAGGAAGGAGAAGTTAAATGAAAGAAAGATGTGAAGGTGACAAAAGGAGAATCAGGATTCTGAACAGCAAGAGTGACAGAAATTGGAGAAGAATTTGAAGGAGATACAGAGGCAGTAGAAGAAGTGGGAACGGAAACAGAAGGAGAGAATGCAGAGAAGGAGGGAACAATAGCTGGAATAGTGCCATAATAGACAAAGGAGATGAAGTAAATGAAGGAACATGAGAAGAAATATGAGAGAAATGAAAGAGAGAACAGGGAGCCTTAGGAGAAGCTACAAGAGGAATTTGGCAAGAGAGGGGAACAGCAAAAGCCTTGGCAATGAGAACCTATGCTCGTTGAAAAGCACATGTTTGGATTCAAAATGTCTCCCTTCTGCACTAAGACACTTGTAGACCTTGTGGCTAGAAGAAAAACCAAGAAACAAGCACTCCTTAGATCTAAAGTCAAGCTTATGATGATCAAAGAACTGAAGGAAGGAAACATATGCACATCCAAATACTCCAAGGAATTTATAAGGAGTAGAGAACATGAAAATTCAGAGCTGCAATTGGAAGTCTATTAATGAGATAGCCAGCAGCAAGGAAGACATGGTCCCAAAACTTCAATGGCAAAGATTCATGAGCAAGTAATGTCAACCCCATCTAAAAAAGTATACTTTAATATACTTTTAAAAAGTGTGCTTCCTTTAAACCATTCCATTTTTATGGTCAGTTTGAGGGCAAATGACTCTATGAACTATCCCAATATTAGCTAGGAGTTGTGTGAAAGGCCTAACAGAAACTAACAGAACTCAACAAACTGATACTTCAGCAATTAACAGAAACAGATCTCAAGAGACTGACACACCAGCAACAAACTAAAACAGAGTTACAACTATAATGATAAATGAAATAGCTGCTTGAGCGGCAGAGATGATCTCTGCAGAACATTGATGCGCAAGTAACTTGTGTTACTTCTCTAATAATCATCAAACTCCCTGTAAAAATATTTTTATTGAAGAAAAGGATTTTCTATTCATATCTTTCATACTTAATGTGTTGTAGGTTTATATTTTCTTTATATAATGATAGTTATTTAATCACTCATTTACTGTTATTATCATTTATCATCTTTGATAAAATGCTAATAAAAATGGAACATTCCAGCTGAAAATAAAATTTTAATTAATATACTAACGAATAGAATGAAAATTAAAATCCAGAAAAAAGGGAGCCAAAACAAATATATAATAACAAGCCCACTAAAATATAACTTGAATTGTTGAGACATTAACCGTGCATCAGCTGTTATAAAATTATAAATACATTAACTGTGTATGCGCTTACAGCATAAAATTTTAAATAGTAAATGGTCTCTTAACAGTTTACAATAATAAACTGCATCACTTGACGACCATGTTTCCTCAGTTCACGAGATGACCATTTTAGTGCATCACTTCCGATTTCTATCACCCAGCCAACTGGCACTTCATAGTATAAATAATGAACCATCTTAGACAATCTTATCACTGTAACATCCATTATATGAACCACCAATGCAGAAGTATCCAAGGCCATTAACTCCTCATAAAGAACTGGTCAGCATGCTGCAGTGTTATTTTAAAAAAAGCAGTTGAACTTGTTCTATCCACGAATCCCTGCTTCAGTGATCACTCCATAATTTCGAACAAAGTAAAACCAGGGGGAAAATGCAGTCATGTGCTAAATTTTTAAAGCTTTCATTGATCTTAAGACATTAAATGGCATCAGTAATGATTAAGGCAAGAAAGTATCTTGTAGTAAAACTGACATTAAATCACAGAGCAAAAAATACACTAAATCTTAGGAGATACACTTGTCACCTCCCTGCAAAGAAATGAGTAAGGAAGAATAGAAACACTTTCGATATTTCAAATTTGTTAATATAGTTATTACAGAGAATATATTGCAGCTGCAACAAAGGTTTCCATGTAAACAACTAAACAATTTTGAACTATTGAACTTTAGAACCACTGTGTGCTTCGAAACAAGGCATCCATACTTATTATTTGACGGGCTGCTAAACACAAACAATGAGTTCATTCACATGCAGTGTAAGCACACAAATAGACATCAATTAAAGAAGGGAAAGCGAAAAAATAGTTATCTGAAATGCATAGAATTGGATGCATATGTACTTCTTTGTGGCAATTGGATTTGAGCTGACATTTTTTCCCCTTACATCTCTGCAGTACATTGGTAGCCATCTTGTTTTGTACTCTTTTTTTGGTCTTAATGAATTCTCCTTTTATCCAAAAAAATATATGTTCAAACATTCATGATTCCCCTCCAATTTTAGTTTCATTTTTATTGTTATGTTTGGGAATTCACTTATAGTCCATAATCTGTATTATTTGTAGTTTTACTGCCCCTTTTCTCACCCTCTGTAGAAAAGAAAAGAAAAAATCCGCAATTCCTCTAACCTAGCAGCGACCCTCTAACAACTTGACACCGCACCAAACTACCAATATTTATAATCCACAAACTGTGGTACACAAAGACAGTTGTTCAGACTTGTATCTTCAATACCTTCTCAATTTGCTGGACCAGATAACAAACTCATAGTATTGTATCAGAATATAAATTAAAAAATTATCCACATGGATACAAAAGCAATCTTTATGTACCAAAAAAAAAAAGTAATCTTTATTTCATAAAGTAATCAATTGCAAGAACTATATCTCGTAGTTTCTAGAAACAAAAGCAATCTGAAGGACTTTACAGTAGAGACCTAATAGACTTGAAAGTTTGCCCCAGTACTAAGGCTTGCACGAGCTTTTTGTTGAGAAAAATGATGAGCGAAACAGAGACATACTGAGCAGTCACATAAATATTAATTTCTCTCAGCTGATGGTGGAATTCATGTCTCCACAAGATACACACAAATCAATTCATAACCTCAAGATGAAAAAAATGTCGAGCAATACCATACCCCAAGGACAACTGATAAGTTGTTAAAAAATTTAAAGGAAAACAGAATAAATACAAAGTTCATCACAATATATATAAACATGCTGCACAAACTACGAGACCACCAAGACATTGGATGTGATACGAACTTTAGGATCAAACATCATCAACATCAACATCAACATCAACAACACCTTTATCCCAAATTAATTGGGGTCGGTGGTAGATGAACCCACATGAAAGATACAAAACGGTTGAAAAAAAGTAAAAAAAAATAAAAAATAAAAAATAAATAAATAAATAAAAATACACAAATAAAATAATAAAATAAAATAAAATGAAATAAAAATATATGTATATATAAATAAATAAAAGTAAAAAAGAAAGGGACAAGAAGAAGTGGGGGAAAATGAAGGGGAAAAGGACTAAAAAAGGACCATCTGGAACATAGGAGTAACAGCGAGTCTAACCCTCCACCATACTTATAGCTTTTCTCCATTCCTTTCTAAGACATACTGTCCGCCAATCTATATCCCACTCCATTAAATCTTGTTTTACTACTTTCCCCCAAGTAAGCTTCGGCCTACCTCTGCCTCTTTTTGTGTTTAGCTCTTGGTAACAAACTTCTGTTCTTACAGGAGCATCCATGGGTCTTCTCATCACGTGCCCAAACCACCTCAATCTATGTTCTCTCATCTTCTCGGCTACCGGTACTACTCCGACCTTTCGTCGAATATCTTCATTTCTTATCTTATCCATCCTTGTGTACCCACACATCCACCTTAACATCCTCATCTCTGCTACTCCCATCTTATGCTCATGTTGCCTATGTGCTGGCCAGCATTCCGCTCCATATAGCATTGCCGGTCGTACTGCCGTTTTATAGAATTTTCCTTTTAACTTCAGGGGAATTTTGCGGTCACACAAAAATGCAGATGCACTACGCCATTTCATCCACCCTGCTCTGATTCTGTGATTTACATCCTCATCAATCTCTCCACCATTTTGTAAAATGGAGCCCAAGTATTTAAAAGCATTTTTTTTGGGTACCTCTTGACCATTTAGATGCACAGGTTCTTGGTCCTCATCTTGTACCAGAGAAAACTCACACTTCAGATACTCAGTCTTGCTTCGACTTAATGTGAATCCTCTGGATTCCAATGTGCTTCTTTTAGGATCAAACATCCTTAGAAATAATTTCACATATACGTATATGCTTACCGGCATGCATGCCATTTATTTTATATATATATATATATAAGGAGTAAATTATTCTTCACCGGAATAAGACTGAAAAGTTTTACACTCAATCTTGACCATTATTCCACTTGTATCAAATGGCACACATAACTAAAAAATTAGAGCCGTTAGATATAAGTGGGATCAACGGTCAAGATTAATAGTGTAACTTACATTAGTGTAAAATGATACACACACACACACACACATATATATATATATATATGAACCGATACAGGGGGAAAGACAAAAAAGACCTTGAAGGTTCATTATGAGTCATGGAACTCCAAAACAACAGCATTGCCCTAACGAAAGGTTAAAAATAGACCAAATACCAAAATGCTATCCAACTCAGCCTGTATGACATTAGAAAGGAAAGAAACAAATATTTTAAGCATGCCGTATGTTTAAGTTAGACTGTTACGATACTAAGCTAAAAACTACGCCCAAGTTCCAGAATACACACACAACTAAACAGACAGTTCTTTTAAAAACAGACAAGAAAATGATCAGGAAAATTATTTATACTAGTTTATGAGGTGAAGGAAAAAATGGTCAACCAACAACACAAATTCATGAATTTATTCAAAGCACACGCCTAGGAGAGGCACAATCCAAGTAGAAATAGAAAACAAAATGTTGAAAAGGAGATTCAAAAACAAAACATAAAAATAATAAATAAATTAACCATTAGTCTGCCTACTTTTATCTAACTAATGGTCTGCCAACAGCAGTTACTAGGCAATAAAGGAGAATAAGCCATTACTTGCAACCATATAACTCTTAGAAGTGGCCTACCACACAATTTTCATAGGATCTACAACCATCAGGAAACGAAGAATGCACAAAATGCTAATAATATGCAAACACAGGTTATTGGTTGCTACTACATTGAAACTCACCAATTTACAACAGTAACTGTCAAGCATCCGGGGAGACTGCCAGCAGGCTGCAAAAAATTTAACAGAATGCCAATAGTCCTATTTGCCTCTGACATGAGCACAACTGGATCAAGAATAGGGTGACCGCCCGCCAACCATGAGATATTAACAGCTTGCCTAACTCCTATATTTTGACCAATGTGAACATTGAAATGAATAAGCAGATGAAAATTACCCAAACAAATCAATTTCCTAGACTGGAACTGGAACATGAGATAAAAAATTTGTACTAATAAGCTATGTCATCTACATGAAACCATTAAAGTCATGTCTATTGAAAAAAATTAAACTCGTCAAACTTGAAGAGCAATACCTTCTGTGGCTGATTTCTCAGGATCACTGATGTCAGATGTAAAAAGTAATACAAATGTTTCCAAGAATTTCAGGGCCAGCAACTTTATTCCAACAGAACCAGGCTACAATATCAAGCAAATTAACTCTCCAATCAGAAAATTGCATAAAGTCCATTGCCACCATCACCACAAGTTAAAGTTGAAATTAATGACATTCAGATTCCAAAAAAAAAAAAAAATGCAAAATTTGTACCATGGAATCATAAAAGCTTAGGACTTGATTAGCTACAACATTATAAGTACTGTGCAACCTAAAACCTCAGCAGACAACTTTTGGAAACACTAAAAACATATTTCATGTTTACAAACTGGTAAACAGAAAAATATATATTCCAGAAAAAAAGTGGAAAGTGACATTGACTGCCAACAAAGACACAGGAACGCCAAATATTATCTAGCATGTAGACATGCACAAATGCCCCTTTGCTTGGCCGAAATTGCAAGAAATTATTACCCTATTTCATACATAGCCATGTGCCTCATATAGGGATACACCATCACTTATATGCATCGGGGTCCTTGACCCCCCATTGGAGAAACCTTTACAAAAAGCCCTCTACAGCTGTCAAATAATAATCATAATTTGATTGCTTACTGCACAGGCCCCCATCCAAGGAAAAGCACCACAGAAAATAAAATATTTAAAACCAAACTCAATATCATAAACCACATAGACCTGACAACAACCTTACGCATAAGGAAAGAAAACAAGAGAATAGTGATGTCTTTCAATGGTTGCCCATGTTCGTCAAGCTGATAAAGCATTTAAAACCACAGGCTTCTTTGACTAAACTTGGATTAAATTTCAAATATTATACAATTGCATGGTTCAATAAGTTGGACATGGGGAATTAGTATATTTCACATTAATAAATCGCCTTCCAAAAAGTAACAATTTCTAAAGCTAGTAAAACCTAACAGCTATAAGACATCCCATATATGTGCAGAATTCCCCAAGCAATTATGGCGGACTGGATTTAAAAGCAAAAGCTGATTACCTCCAGGGCAATCCCAAAAACAGCATCCTTGAATTTAAGCATCCACATCCAAATCTCTTCTAGCCACCTCTCAACTTTACCATATTGTTGAAACTGTTCAGTTTTTCAAATTAGTATAACTTGTCAGTGGCATACTAAATACCAAAGTCAGGAAAACAAGGGGAAAGAAAATGGGCAGAGAGGCTCTTCTTCAGTGAATTCCTTCTTTCATTAAAAACAAATGGGCAAAAAGGAAAAAGAAAGAAGATACAAAATCCATCAAACAACTAATGAAGCCTTTATATAATTCATGAATTAATAATCAGTGATTAGATGAAACATTGGAAATAATCAAAGGTGGTAAACATATCATGAATCTGGTCTAACATGAAGGCATAATACGACCATAGAAACCACAGAAATACATAACCTCATATCACTTGCCATAGTTATTAGATATAGATCATGCCAGTTCTAGATTATCCAAACCCCAAACCCAAAGAAAGTTATAGGTGAAGAAGGGAGAGAGCCACCATGATCAAGATGTAGACAAAGCAATCAGATACTAAGCTTATAAATAATCTAATCTACATAAAACATTAAAGAAAAAAAAAACTAAGGCCCTGTTCGAATATTGTCTCTAAAAACAATTTTTGGTTTTCAGAATAAAAAAACAAAGAAACCTGTTTGATAAGGCCTGTTTTGTAAAAAATAAAATTAAAAAACTGTAGCTGTTTTTTTGTTTTTAGAATCAAATTTAGAGAACATGTCTGAGTTGTTTTTGTTTTGTGTTTTGACTTTTAACTTTCAAGACAAAAAAAACAAAGAAAACACATGTTTTCATAACTATTCTACAAAACAGTTTTAAGAACAAAAAAATCATAACATAATCAAACAGACCCTAAAATGAATCTGTTTGTCTATCTGTGTGCAGTCATGAAGGATGGTCAGAGGGGTCAAGAGAAAGTACCTGCACAATCATCTCCTCGAAAACACTACGGAAGATATTTGTGCCACTAACAATAGATTGCTTTATAACCATTACATCGCTGTCTCGTAAAAATGTTAATAGTACAGATATAAGTGTGGGAGAATGCTCAACTGCTTTAAAACCAATCTCCTCAATTATCCTGGAATACAGTGAGTGAATCATATTAAATATATGTATAATATATCAATTACACAAACAAACCAGTAGTTGCTAAATATGGAGAGTGAAACACAAATGTAGCACAAGTTATTGATAGGCATAGGCAAGCTATTAAATTCAACTGAGAAAACTTGCACCCAACAAACAAACTTTCGCAGTTTGCAATGGGGAATAAACAGAGGCGTATACTTCAGAAGACATCAAATGAGCCAAAAAGAAACAAAATGCACATCAAGAAAAGCACTGAACAGAAACGTAGCCCACAGCATTCCCCTAAAATACTAATTCCATCACAAAACGTGAAAGAACACATTGCCAATTCAAGAATAAAAGCTTAAACAACCAAAGAGACTCAAACAAAACACTAACTCAAACAAAACACTAAGAGAAAAGTTAAGAAATCCAAAAATTGAAAGAAATTAGGGTTAGGAACTGACTGGATAAGCAATTTGCGAACGAGGCTTTCGGGAGAAGACTGAAGCTCGAGCAAGTAAGGGAAGAGGTCCGCGGCCAAAGAGGGTTCGATGGATAGAAGAAGGTCTTTGGCTTGTTTAAGGGATGAGATTTTGACGGAGATATCGCCATGGTTGTTAGCAGCGGCGAGGAGAGAGAGAGCTTGGTCCCTGGTAGGAGGAGCGGCCATGAGTGTTAGGGTTTTGAAGGAACGAGTGGGAGGTAAAGGGAGGGGAACGAGGTTTTGTAATGTTACGACGAACGAACGATTTGAATTGCAATTGAAGCAACAAAATTGGATGATGATTCTTGATTCCAGACACTCCCGGATTGAGACGATGCGCAATTGCGCATTAGGATTTGTAGTGGGAAATTTGTCTACCTAATGTGTGGAACCAAAATATTATTATTATTAGAATTTCTCTAAGTTGAACTCAAAATGATAAAATCAAAAAAAAATTATAATTAAAATTTATTTTATAACTATATTAATCTTTCTTATTATAATTTTTTAATCGAAAATGATATCATTTTAAGAGTGAATATAAATAATTTAATAGAAACATTCAATCCTTATTATTATTATTATTACTACTTTGAATACAAATTTGTATAGTTGTCTACACAATTTCCTTTATATTTATAATGACTTTTTAAATCAATAATAATAATTTTTCCCATGATTTATATATCTAACAATACAAGTTAGAAAAAAAGCTACTATGATTAATATAGTGGCGAGGAATTTAGACATTTTGTATTAGGTTATGTGTTTAATTTTTACTATTTAAAAAAATTAGAAAAAAATAACAATTATTTCATCATTTATACGGTAAACTGATCATGTTTTCAATTTCACCATTATATAGTTCAATCATGACTTAATCCCAATTCAACTATAATGCACCGATACTTTTAAAAAACTTGACGTGTCGTGTTCGACACTCTTTTATACTTCAACATTTCCCGACAACGCGATGCAGAGACTCAAAAGAGAGTTTCAAAGGTTGCATTATGTTATGTTTTTAGTTCCATTTATTAGATTCGTTAGATTACGATTACTATTTTATTGAATTTAATATAAATATTTAGGATATCTTATGTTTCTTTGTAAAATTGATGGCTGTTATAAGTTTAGTTTATTTTTTTGTTAAATTATTGAATATTAAATATAATATACACTATCTAAATTTAAAATATTATTTAATATCAAAATGTGTCTTAACGTGTCAAGGTATCGTATCGTGTCCCGTGTTGGTGCAACATAAATTCAACCGATTGAACAGTGACTCATAGCTCTTGCTGGATTATTCTCCAATTAGGTTTTTGAAACATTTTCATCTTATGTAGCATCCATTAAGACAGTTCAACTCCATAGAATAATGGTACTACTGCTGTACCATTCACTCAGTATATTTGTCCAATAAAAAATGAGAAATGACTCTCATGCTTGTATGGAAAAGAGAGAAAAATATTTTTTTTATCCAAATGTCACTTGATCAATGACAGATGTATCTACTACAGATATACAAAAGATGATCCCCCATAGAATATCTACATATGCATCTTTATAGATTCATCAAAGTCCCATACAATGCTTAAAATCATCATTCAAAATAAATTACTCAAATTAATAAAGGATAGTCCAAGTTCTCAAGCTGCCTGCTTGTACTGCCAACATATGTGTGTGGAATACGAGCTATTTTTGGCCAATCTCTCGACCTTTACTTTTCCTGCATCTCTCCTCAAGCGCTGAACACTCTCGAATTGAAAGATGTTGAAAACCTTATGGAAATAATTTATGTTATGACAATCTGATATAATCAAACACCATGAACAAGATTATCGATCCATTCAGGTAGATTTTTCAAACCAGGACAGCTATGAATTTCAAGAGTTTGCAACGTAGGTGACATGCTGTAGACTTTCTGGAAGATATGCATGCTAGATTTGGACAACTCAGGATGTACAAACTCTTCAGCTTGGAAAGATTCGTTAGGCAATACATTATTGCTAGATGCTCCAAAGCTGACAGATTTTGCTTTGTCGTTGGCAAAGTTAGCATGCAGTGGCAATTCTCAATAGACAATGACTTAAGAACACTGAGATTTTCAATATTTTCAGCCAAAGCAGTAACTTTATGGCATTCTTCAATCTCCAAGGAGGAGAGATGTTCTAATTCTTCAGGCATGGAGTGGAGTTCCGGACACCATCGAATTATTAATAACTTCAAAGCAGCGAGGCCTCCCAAGACAGGGATTGCTCTCAAGCAAGTTTCCCAAGAGAAGTAGTTGTTCTTATTCCTAATAAAAATAATAAATCTTATGTCTAATATTAATCATTAATTAACTTTATATCTAATGACTCTAATTTATTTAATTTATTGCTCATATGTTTTGTTAGACGCAAATGAGACCAACAATTAAGATTAAGGATGTTACACTTCATCTTAACAAGTTAAATTTTATATATTTTACGATTACAATCTATTGAGAATTAATAATTAACTAATGAGAATAATCTAATTAATTACGGTCGTTTGATGGATATAAATCAACAGTTAAATATTAGTATAAGATTTACTATTCTTACATTGATATAAATTGATCATGTTCATATATATATATATATATATATATATATATATATATATATATATATATGAGGAGAGATTATTTGACTCTAGAGTAAGATTTAAAAATCTTACTCTTTATTTTAGCCGTTAATTTTCATTCATCTCACGATTATCATTTAATAAGTTATAATAATTATATATATATATATATATATATATATATAAAAGATCACATTATACTGATATAAGAATAAAATAAATTATATTCAATTTTAACTATTAATCCATTCGCATTCAACGTCTCATAAGCGATTAAAATTAAAAATTTAATAATAATTTGGGTAAAGAATTTTTTCAATTAATGGAGATAAATTATTTCCAATGAGTTTAAAATGACTTTGTTTTGAGACGGGAATTAAAGTATTTTGTAATTCTAATATATTACAGAGTTATATTAGTCTTTATCATTAATTCATTATAATTTTTTAATTTTATAATCCAAAATAATATAGTTATGGTTATGAGCTCACTAAAAATAATTTTATACTTGAAGAAATAATTTTCCCTAATAATCTGTATATAATAAAGGGATAGGATATTCTGACAACTAAATAATGTTACTACCAATGTTACTACTACATCTTAATCGTTGATTTCCGCCAATCAACAGTTATTATTTTTCAAATTAAATTCATTAATTAATTATTAATTCACAATAAATAATAACCATTAATTGACGAAAATCAACGGTTAAGATGTGATAGTAACGTTGTTAGTAACATTATTTGGTTATAATATCCTATCACTCTAATAAATTAAACTTTGTTGCAAAAGGAGAAGTTATTGCAAAAGAATAAAAAACCGAACTTTATTGGGTTCTAGGCAGAAAAGACCGAACTTTGTAAGGGAGGAGGGGAAGGGGAAAAGGAAAGGGAAAGGGAAAGTAATTGGAAGCGCGAAGAGAGGAGAAGGAGATGGAAGGTTGGGACCCGAATACGAAGTCGACGCTGACACAAATCCCATTGCTGACGACAAAGGCAGGACCTCGAGATGGAGCGGCATGGACTCAGAGGCTGAAGGAAGAGTACAAGTCTCTGATAGCCTATACGCAGATGAATAAGTCTAACGACAACGATTGGTTTCGGATCTCCGCCGCAAATCCCGAAGGAACCCGTTGGACCGGTAAATGCTGGTACGTCTACAACCTCCTCAAGTACGAATTTGACCTCCAATTTGATATCCCTATCACCTACCCTTCCACCGCACCGGAGCTCGAGCTCCCTCAATTGGATGGCAAGACCCAGAAGGTCAACTTCTCTCTCTTTTTCAATTACATATTTATTTTTCCCTTCTTCTTCTTCTCTGTTTTTAACATTTCAATTGATCTTTTTTTTTTCAGATGTATCGGGGAGGAAAGATATGTTTGACTGTGCACTTCAAGCCTCTTTGGGCCAAAAACTGGTACTTTCTTTTCGGTGCATCATGGTTCTTTTTATTGGATTTTTTTCCTGAAGAAGATGATTTTATAATTGTACCCCTCTGTTGCCCTAAACAGAAAATAATTGAGCTCATGCCAATAAACACACTTGTTTGTGGATAAGAGATTGAGGACTTGGTACCCTTTCATTGGTTAATGGATGTGTAAAAATCGAAGAACGGGAGATACACTAGACTAGCTTTAGAAAGGATAAGCATCGTCATTTAGTACATTTTTGTTAGATTGTTAGGGGTTATTATGTTTTTTTTTTTTTTTTTTAATAATTCAAGGATTCTGATTAGGATTTGGCTAGGTTTGACCAACAGCTACAAGAACTAGGAGCTATCTGGATTTCAATAATTAGAATTCTTCTTGAGATTCCAACAAAATCCTCAAATAATCTTATTAATCAATCGATGTCAGAAGCTGAATAATATATATAGCGCACCTAAAAATATCCGTTCTGCATCACTAAGCTGAACATGTCGAAATAATTGCAAGGGCACACTAAGATAGCTTAATGTGACGCTTGACTATTCTTGCAGCATATTGAAGTGGAGATTACAATATCAATTTCAACAGCGGTGTTCCAATAGCGATAGGAAATTGTCTCATTTCCTGTTGCAATCTCCTTGTTGTTGTTTTTTTTATATTGGCATGGCAAAGTTTTAAAACTGCAAAATCCCTTAAGATAAATGAGACATGCTTTTGGTGAACAAATGGAGTTAATTTTGTGATAAAAGATTTTATTTGAGCACCCTTTCACTGTTTTACCGAATTCTAAATAATGACATATTTCTATGCTTGGCTTTCTTTTACAGCCCTAGATTTGGTATAGCACATGCACTTTGCCTTGGCCTTGCCCCATGGCTTGCAGCAGAGGTTCCTATTCTTGTGGATTCTGGTATGATCAAACACAAAGATGACGCAACCACATCAACTGAATCTTAGTTATTCTATGTCTCATTGAAGCTGTAAAACTAGAACTCAAGTTTTGTTGTCACCGGATTTGTCAAAGGAAATAAAATTAGCTGTATGATCACAAATTTACAGGATCTTCCTTATTTAGTACATACTTGTATCTGCAGATGTTGAAGACTTGAGATCCTTACATTCTCTGGCAAATTATTATGTATAGCAGATGCAACATGGCTAGTGAATTAGTGACTTTCATCTAAACTTGACTTACAATCGATTAATCGGTTGAAAAGGGTTCTTTTTTTTATTGATAATGAACTTAATGGTTAATGATAATTAAATTTTTTTACCTGAAAGTGATGACATTTGTTTAGAGTATAGACTTTAGACATGCAGGCAATTCCAAAGTAAATGAAGTTTGGATCAACCTGGTCCAAGTTTCACCCTTCTCACTTTTATGATTAATATTCTATTCTACTTTCTAAATGTTATTCCCTTGGTGTGCTCTTCTTGCAACTGTCTTTGTTGGAAAAAATTTATTGTTCTATTGCCTGCCAAGATCAATATACTTAAGTTTGGCATGTATCATTTCGGATTTTTTTGTCTTTATTATTTATTGGCTTTTTAATAACCAAATTTTATTTTGGTAATGAAGTTGTAGAGAATTGTCTTAATGATCTGATTTGTAGACAAGAAATCCGATACAGCATGAGATTAACCTTCTCTCTCTGATTAAAATATATATATATATATCCTAAGAAGCACCGATACTGCTTAAATTTTTTTTCCAACGTATCGGATACGCGTATCGGAAACGTATTGTTTGGTAATCGACATCCTGTATCATCGAATAACGTATCGAAAACGCGTATCGGTGCTTCATAGTATATATCAACTGAGTTTGACTTCTTTCCTGTTCCTCTTCCCTTTTTCTATTCTAGTTCTTTCGAAGAAAAGGTTTTGAGATTTCACGTTCTCCTTTGTTCAAAATTACAATGATTGTTGATGATTTTGTTTTCTGATACTTGTCACTCAGCTTATGGGTATCCCTCATATTGTTCTGATGAAATGTATGCAATGAGGACATCTGTTGGCCGTGAATATATAAATTGATTTTTTCTTCCCTCCCCCTTTGATAAATTATTTTGAAGATCTATGAACCTGATGTTTCTTTTGCATTCTCACCTATTCTACCACTGGGTTTTACTCGGAACTAGTTGTTACTGCTTGTATGAGTGTTTGGTTTTAAAAGAGTTTGGTTTAACAGTTATAAGTTTGTTCTGCTGCCAACAAACTTATACGATCGTGCTGTGTTTTTTTATACATTTTTGTTCTGTTTCTTCTGCCTTTTTTTTTTGGTAGTTTGTTTCTTCTGCCTTATTGTAATTTGAAGTTTGCCTTCAATCGTATATCAGTTTATGACAGGTAAGACTGCCGTTATGTGGGATACCCATTCTTTTTTTTTCTTTTTTCTTTTTTGATAACATAGGATACCCATTCTTAAATGATAATGTTTTCTTCTCAAGCCGAGTTAGTGACAGTTGAAAACTAGGAAGTACCCTTTTTAAGAGGGGGGAACTATTCTAAGGAAACAAAAAGAAGGGGCCGTAGCCTGACAAAGCCAAAGTTCCAATCATTAAACTTGCAAAAATTAACAACGGTAAATAACATAGAAGGGATCGTCTTATGGTCAAGCTAGCTTAAACATAGCGAAAACCTTGAAGTGGAAACTATTAGCTAGATGCTTTTAAACTTGATTTTCGAATCATGCATCTGAGTTGCAGATTTTTGGGTCCATTATTTTTTATTAAACTGGAACTGCTCTCATCAGAATATAGGCCCAGCAGAGACAATCTCTTCAGTCAACTTCTCATCTTTCCCTATCTTGTAGGTCATGAATCCATCAAAATTCTTCTTGAATAGACTGGCTAATTTCAAGAGCGTATCTTGGTAGACCTTCTTGTCAGACCACTGCAATTAAGTCAAATTTAACGTTAGTGCAGTTCTTACCTTCACAATTTTAACTCTTGATAAGAGAAAAAAATAGTAGCTAGAAAACAAGGTATTGAATATCAACTAACAGTATTCATGGGATGCAAGATTTCAGAAGGGACACCCTCTATTGCATCTGGGATCTCAAACCCAAACACTTCGGTCTTGGTGTACTTTGCATTCAAAAGGCTCCCTGAGTGAATGGCATCGATGATTTTCCTGGTGTACGCTAACTTGATCCGATTGCCTAATCCATATCTGCCAATTTATGGGGAAGAAAAATTAGTTTTAGCAAGTAGAAAACTGCCATGCAGATGCAGTATTAGAGTACATACCTTCCTCCTGACCAGCCAGTATTGACAAGCCATCCAGTAGCCCCATGCTTCTGCATCTTTTCAGCCAGCATTGCCGCATATTTGGTAGGATGCATCATTATAAATGCTGCCCCAAAACAAGCTGAGAATGTGGCCTGTGGCTCTTTTATACCATCTTCTGTCCCAGCAACCTGTTTCATGCAATAAATTAACCGATAAAACTTGTACCTCCAGGGTAGCATCGCGCAGGCCCTCTCAACAACTAGAGGATGCCAATGAAGGTATGAAAAGAAATGAAAGGTATTGCAAGTACCAGGGCTGTGTAGCCACTGATGAAATGGTACATTGTTTGGGCCAAGCTCAGCTTGCTCACTGGGGGGAGCACCCCAAATGCATCACAAGCTAAAAGGATGACATTCTTTGCATGGGGAGCAACACATGGTATCCTAGCATTGGGTATGTACTCAATAGGATATGCTGCACGAGTGTTCTCTGCAAAACCAAAAGTTCCAAACTACTATTCAGCATGAATCGCATATTATGGAATCATTTAAGTAATAATGTAACTAAAGGTTTCAATCTTTCATAATTCATAGTTATCCTGTCAGTGTTATTTTGTGCAATTTTAATGCATAAAGTTTTACACCAACAATAAACAGCAGACTTGCTCAAGATATGATTCACACTGACAACTTAACTTCGTTATCGGTTAATACATGTGTGATTTTACAAAGCATTAGTTCAAGTCCATCCATAATCTCACTTCCTATGCATTCAGTTTTGCCATTTTTACTTCCTTTAGCGTACCCTACTTGAACACATTTAATTTATTATACTTACCGGTTACAGATTTGTCCGAGTAATCTACGTCTCGAGTATGCTCATCAAAAACAACATTTTCAAGCACTGCAAAGAGAGGCAGTTAAAATAATTGTGTCAGTCTCAGAGGTGGGGTGGCTCCATAGAGAGTCTATGCGTAATGAAGGGTAACTGTTTTGTCAGGTATAAGATTGTTACCTGTACCAAATTTGATAGCATTCCAGATGTCTGGTTCCTTATCCTTTGAAAGATCAACACACTTTGCATAGCAACCACCTTCAATATTTGACACCCCATTCTCACTCCAGCAATGCTCATCATCTCCAATTAAATACCGGTTATGATCGGTAGAAAGAGTTGTCTTTCCAGTACCTATTGAGAATCACAACAATAAACGGATTAATGAAAATTCAACAGAGTACAACATTAATAGGCAAGTGATGGCTCATGGCTCCATTATTAAAAAGGTACTCATCTAACTGCACCTGATAATCCGAAAAAGAATGCAACATCTCCATTTTTGCCCATATTGCACCCAGAATGCAGGGAGAGAATATTACGCTTGGGCATGAGGTAGTGCATTACACTAAATAGACCTTTCTTCATTTCCCCAGCATATTGTGTGCCAAGGATGACCATTTCTTTCCTTGCTAGGTTGATGTCTACGCTAGTTGATGAAGTCATGTAGTGTGTGTAACGGTTACAAGGGAACTGTCCTGCATTGTATATAGTGAAGTCTGGAGTTCCAAAATCCTCTAGCTCTTCAGGAGTGGGTCGAATGCACCTGTCAAAATTTTCTCTTTATATTATGAGAAATCATTATCTCCTTCTACATGAGATAAGAACTTTTTCCTACACAAATTCGTTTTCCGTGCCAATTAATTTTTCTTTTCTTTTTTAATTTAAAATGTGGGACCCACATTTAATTTATCTCTACTTTTTTTCTCTCCTACTATCCTACAACATAAGAAAATATGCACCCTTATATTATACATTGTTGTGCATCTGACTATTCTAGTGCCTCCTACTAAGCCTTTATCTGAAGATTGTAAAGAATTATCTAGTAATGCACAAAGATTTGTGTGAGTGTAGAAGGTAGGTAATCTGCTTCATTACTCACATATTGTGCATAAATAGGGAATGATAAGCTCTTGCAGATACAATTCGGACTTTGATTTGGTGTTCTGGATCCCAATTCAGAAATTGATCATTCACAAAAACCTGAACTCAGATCAATTTACAAGGTCAGAAGAACTAGTCATTGATATTTGATAATCATTAGTTGCGTATCAATATTTCAAAAATTAACTGTACGAAAGACACATCTGATTCTGATGATTAAATATTGGGTGCTTCTTGGAAATGGTAAATACTGAAGAAAGTTCTATTAATAATGTCTGCACTCTGTTATTATTAGGCAGAAGAGTTGTGAAGCAGTCAAGAATCAAGTTCAACTTTCCTCATGAACCCGGCATGGACTATTTGGAAGCAATTATTGGCTAAGTGTACACGAGACAACTCATCATACCCAAAAAATCTGTAGGTAAAAAGTCCTATCAACGAACACATTCCTAATAACGGTGGAAATAGCAGAAAAGCAGGGATAAGTTAGAGGAAACTGCAAAACTTGTTGTAAATTACGTAAAGACAGTGGTTCTCGACTCCTTATTCCTCAAGCAACCTTAGTTTTCTTATTTCTGAGGTGAGTTGACGAAGTAAAATTTAGCCAACCAGATATATTTCGTCATATGATATTGTAATAATACATGTCTCTCTGAATGATTCTCAATTGATATGGACACATTGACAACTTGTTAATGAATTTTTTATTTCGTTATTCTTCTTGGTGACTCTCATCCACATCAGCGGGCTAGTGAGTCATTATATCGTGGTTTTTTTCTATATATTTTGGGTGTTTGGAACTATTGCATGTTGATGTCATTGAAGACTACGCGGGCTTTTGTTTCTAAAGTATATGATAACATTCTCAAAAGTAAAATTCTCATAAATACTACGACGAGAAATGTTATTTTCAAATAAATTTAAAAATATATTTGGTCAACATTCAATATATTTAAAAAATATTTTTTAAAATTCAAATAATTAAATGTTATAAAAAAAAATGAATAGAAGTTAACAATTAGATTACAAAATAAATTTTAACCCATAAAAAAGGGTTTTTTCACCC